TTTATTTAAGTAATACCGGTTGATAGATCGCTTAAATTTGATTCGTTAGTGTGGTATCATAAATTTAATTGTTCCTACTGTCTCAACGTGACTTAGTTATCTTAATAAACATTTACAAAACCCAAAGAAATTTCGGAATTTCGACAGTTCATGGTTTTTACGACAGAGTTCGTTTGAGTGTTTAGTGCAGTGTGATTTGAGAATGTTTTCTTCGTTGATATAAATGTATATATAACAACTCTGAAATCTAATTCGTGACGATGAGTTTTAGTGAGAAGCTGTAACTAGTGGAGTTCAACCATGTTGAACGCAAAGCAGTTATTAACCTCAAGCAATTAAAGATGGCCATGAGATATCCTGAATTAATTGAAGTTTGATACATACAAAATACAATTGCATATATCGGCTTAGTGGCCTAGAGGTCAAGGACTTACGACCAAACCACAGGTCCTGGTCTAAATCCTTTACAGAGGGGTTATAGATGCACACTGCTAAAAAGTCATATACCAGGACGAAATAGCTGTAAGGCACATCCTAACTTTTAATGGTTATCTGACAGATCATTTCTTTATATAAACTATGCAAATTTAACAATCCTTATAAAAACCCCTATACTAATAAAAATCAATCAGCTCGGTTTAGCAAATTGAAAACTAAATATTAATCCACATATTACAATGGAAAAGATCACTTTTATTTTGTTAACATATGTACTTGTCCTAAAGTTTTATCTTCTTATTATCTCCAATTCCTGTTACAGAATAATCGGTGTGAGCAATGTTCGTGTTGGAGATGCATCGGTTATTTCAAAAATTCCAACTGGTAATCCAGCTTCACTTATAATGGCTATTGGAAACCAGTTAGCCAAATATATAATTCATGAAAATTGGCAACAGTTATCTTTGATGATGGGCTGAAACTATATATATAAGAAATGCCTTTCGACTTTATAATTTCACTTTTGAAAGCAAACAAACTATTCAGTACAATAAATCATGAAAATGTTTCTTGAACCATTCAGTTGTAAAATGTGATTACACCTGTTCTTAATGTAAATCATGTTAGGCAAATTAATTATTAGTATTCATTATGTTCAATAATAGTCAGTACTTTAGAACTACCATTAATATTGTTAATTTTCTTTTAATATACAGTTTTCTTTATCTGTTAGCTCTCGAAACTATTGATAAGCATGTGATAGAAAGATGATGTAGATTATTTGTTGATGCAAACATTATTACGTTTATAGGATTTAAACATGACAGCTGAATTCTACTTCATTTAAATCTTTGTATGATGTTAATATTGGGATACGAAAATTATGATAGTTCGTTAATTTCTTTTTATATTAAGCTTACATTTAATATTTATTAAAAATCATTACTCAATCACGTGAAATCCATGTTACCTCTTTAGTATGCCGTTACAAATTTCGACAATCTGTTAGTAACAAAGTTTATAGGGATTCAGTGGTTTTTAGATTAACTCGTACAATTTCATTCCTGTATAATCTAATTATAACTTTTCATTGTGATGGACATAATCTGTTAGCATGCAGAAATAAAATCATTTTCGTTACCAATAATCGCTATCAGATTTATATATAGGCTGCGTCTCTATTGGGACACTCAAATCGAAGTATGTGGTTTTCTCAAGCAGCTAGTTCCTAGGTCTTTAACCAAGAAGTGTGACCCATAAGGCTATAAGGCAAGGTTGTTAGACGGTGTCCCATGGTATCAGACAAATAAAATAGATTCACAAGTTGTTTGTTTAATCAGGATCCTTGAGATCACGTACACTAATCGTTTGCTATCAAGGTTTTCCAACTCTTTTAGAGAGACCTTTCATATCTACCAACCTGGTTAAAGCACCGGAAATCTGCTTTTGTTACAACTATTTTCTTGATCAACATACCTACAAGAGCACTTAGATAGAAAGAGTGAAATCTCTCCATCCCGAGTGGTAACAGAACATTTAAGGGCCTAAACAAGCAATAGCAATTAACACATTAAAAGATCTATCATACAATTTTTTTAACGAATTCATTACATTAAGGTAATACTGTACAGAAATCTGGTGAATAAGAGATAGCATCAAAAGCGAGAGAAAGAATTTTTCTACTAACAAATTTCCAGGCACATTGTAGTTTAACAGAGCGGCTGTAATAATAATACCGGGATTTGTCAGTAATTAAAAACCAATACTGCCTTATATCTAAATTAGTTACGACTAGGCATTTTGTTTCACTGAATGACAAACTTGTGGTAACACCCTTCAAAATGTGTTTACACGTGGGTAGTTGAAAAAGTTTGTCGACAAAGATGTGGAAAACAGCATAGCGAGCAAATAAGTACTACTTCAATTGAGAACATTATTCACTTAAACTTATCTTTTGGTGAAAATATATTTCAGAATGTCAACAACAAATTACTATACATACATACCCCAACTACTAACACTGCCAAAGTGCAAACTGCTACTCACGTTGTCTACCAGCCGAAAATGGATGAATATTTATTAGCAAACCACTCACAGTTGAGTCAGAAAAGTCATCTTCGCCTATCGTAGAGAGTGCATGAAGGAACTAATATACCTTTCTCCCAATAGGTTCTGAGAGCCCTGAGGTTGAAAGAAGCTTTCGATCACTAACATTTGCAGTCTATTGGCATTTAATCAATCTACAACATTTTCAGATATGTGAATGTTACATTTAAACTAATTAAAATGCACAAAATCACTATTTTTATTATTGTAATTGTTATTTGCGATTACCATGGAACAGTTTAAAAGTGAGTTATGTATAAGAAAGATAACAATCATTCTAGTGTTACCGTGGTAACTTCGTGTTGACCTGATTGCATGATCTTTTTGTTTGACTATATACCTGATTGTAAACTCAATTTTTATCATATTTTTCTATACGTAAAGAGAATTGTTTTACATAGTTCAAATGGGGCTATCTATGGAAATAGACATAACATGAAGAACTAATAATAAATCAGAAAATATACACATTGCATAACCCCAATACCTATAGCAGATTTATGGAAGAGCTTTCATGTCTAGAAATAAATATGCTACATTTGAACAGTGATAAACATTTGCAAACAACATTAAATGTTAACAGAATCAATGTTATAGGTTAGTTAATATTGTGCCCTGGGTTGGGGTGACTCTGTCGATCATGAATTTTCATAAGATTACCGAGGTCTCCACCCTGATATGTGTTTCCAGTGTACATACAATTATTTACTGAATAAACGTCATAAGTATGTTTTTCTGGGGTATTCTATAACAAGATAAAATATTCACTTATCCAAACAACCAATGTATATATGAATTAAAAAGTTAAGATTGAATATTTTACCAATGCTTATAAAACCTTTTTACATTTAGTCTTTAAATATGTATGTGAAAAGAAATGTCTCTTTTTAATCTCACTTAGCTCATGCATTGTTTAGGCTTACCTGTAGACAAAGATAAAGTTAGGTACAAGATTTGTAAATGTGCCAACCTAATTCTTTATTATTATTTGATGTAGGTATAATTACTTTTAAATGATACCAGAAACATTGGTTTTCCAAGTTATCCATGAATGTAGATCTCATAAACAGGATTTATAACCAGTTTAGTCAAGATAGTTGTATACTTAAATAGAGAGACGAATAATATGCTTTACTGGAAACAAAGACAATCATGAGTAACTCATGTATTTACCTAGTATTTACCTAGTGAGTGCGGTTCGCACTTGTTCTTGTGTTTCTTGACAGTAGTTTGGTTGTAATTTTTACTTCAGGCTATCTCTTATTCAGTCATTAGATGTCATTACAGTTCTTCATGATTTTTATCCACTTGCAATTACCATCAATCCCCAAGCACACTTTTCATTTCTTCTTCATATCTACCAAGTGGGCAATTACGTAACACACTACTGGTGGGTAAATTATTTTCATTTTCAACTTTTAAACCATTTTCAAACTAGCTTTTGATGCTTGGACTCTGAATACTTGGTGATGTACTGTCACTCTGTTGTACATAAAGCTAATATACTTCTTAAATCACTATGAACGAAACTGTACAGATTAAAAAAATCTTATTTATTGAACATATATCGTATAACAAAAGGATCATATCGAAACAATCGAAATCAAATGAACAATCGCCAACAAATACAAAATTTATTTACGAATGTTAACAACCAGGCAATTCAAACCCACACTTATAATAGTATAGAAACTGTATTTCTTGAACAAAATAGTGACTATTTAAACCTAGTAGATCTGCAAATAACAAGTTCGCGTTCGAATAGAAAAATATTCGGTTCGAGTCTGAACGTGAATGAACAACAAAGTAGTAATGAGGTTAGATCTAGTAGACGAGTCCACAATTAACCGATATATATGTCCTGGATTACACTACTAGACATAATCTATCCATTCCATATAACTTCACTGAATCGTTTCCATTTCTTCTTCTTCAATGATACGACGGGCCTCTTTCTTTGCAAACTAGAGGTAATTGTGGTCACAATAATAGGTCATTATCACTAACATTCAGCTATGAATATGATGTGATAGACAAGTTCTTATATAAGTGAATAAATTAAATTAGAAAACTAGTCAGTTCGAAAATAATTTTTTTTAATAATTATTTTATTAATTAACGTGAACTTATAAAAACGTCAAATGATTTACATTGAATTAATATTCTATACACAACATAAAATTCATGAATTATTGATTTTTTTTGTTTTATGATCAATATTATCTTTAGTTAAAATGAATCAATATTAAAATAAATAGCACTTTCTGAAAGACAGATCAATAAAATAATCAATAAACTATTGAACTAATTCACAAAATGTTTAATTAAAAAATTGATTAGAAATATTGTATTTGAATATAACATTGATTAATTAATGAGAAAAATGTACTCTAAATGATTTAAATAAATTTTTCAATGATTATTATATAATTATTAAATTATTTTGAGTAATTTAATTATGTACCGTTAAAAGCTATTGAGTTTTCTAAAACATGAATTTGGAAGAAAGAAAAAAAGAACATAGTGATTAGTATCATACAAAGATAATATGTGTTAATAAGTAAAATATTATTAATCGTAACAGAAGGTCATTACATATCCAGTAACTACAGAATTATTCTAAGGAAAGACTAAGATTTGAATAGAGATAAGCATTTTATCTTATCCAACATTAATCAGCTGAATTTATCTGTGTTAATATTTAAACGGAAAATGAAAACTAGTACTCAGTAATTGAAACCCCTGTAGAGTAATTACTTAAGGTAAGATCCTTTAACAGATATAAAGATATCATATATTTACAAACTGAAATGCGTATTGCTAATCCAACGATCTTTAATAAAAGTGAATTATTAATCTATGCAATATTCAAACATTTGTTACAGAAACCCATATGCTGAATGGAGGAATAGTCAAAGTCAGTTTAATTATTAACAGTAAAGAAATACAAATACCTGAAGTCCACAATTTACTTAAAAAGATTAATTATTTAAATAAAGCTTTATTAAACTTTTATGGGATGAAATTAGGTGATAATCTTTATAGTGAAAGGTTGGATTAAATAAAGATAACCTGTCCACAAAGATTGTGACAGTTCATTTTATCTGACGTATCAAAGTAATTAACATTTCGTTTGAAGATTTGGACTAATATCTTTTAATATTTTAGTAATCTATCGTAATATCTAAACCGTTCATGTTTCCAGCATGATCTGCCATAAATCACATGTAAGACATAAATTTGTTTTCATTTTCAAGGATCCTTGTAGCATAATATAGAGTTAAGTCCCGTGAATCACTGAAAATTGAGCAGTTAATTCTTCTCATTTTAATAAGTACTTAGTAAGTTTGCTTTACAATAACATTAACTATTATAGTCTATTTGCACATTCTCTAGATATATGCTTTTTAAGCCACATAGTTACTACTAAATGAATGAGTCATTTTAAGTTGATTGATCTGTTTGGTCATTTTAAGGATACGTATTATGTGTTATTTGTTGTTGTTAGCGCGTTTTTCCTGATTGTAGTTAAACAACCAGTGAAAACCAGGAAGTACTAGACGACTGTTTTATCCTAGTGTGGGATTACTTAGCTGTGCGCATCTTTCATCTCTTCAGGGGTTCCAACCCAAAATATTCACATCTACAGCAAGAGCCTAATGGTAAATCTACTGAGTCAGGTTCTAATGGTTTATGTGTCCAACTTCAGTCAATCTGCGCTGTCGCGAAATAATCCCTTATTTCTGTTGGTGGATAAGTGCCTCACACCCGACATGTCTAACTTCCAGTAGCCACAAAGTATCATCAGAACTCCTGGAATCACATCTTGAAACCCGTCACTAAATAACACGTTAATATTCTTTCTTGGTATAAGGTGCATGTGGAAATTATTGAATCTTCATAGTTTACATCATGATTTGATCTTAGCTAGACAATCAATTTTGTGTCAAATAAAATACAGTTTGAATCTTCTCCACCATCTTGAAACTTTCCATTTGAAATAGAGTCCATTTCAGCTACATAGTTTAGTCAGTCATGAGTTTAAGACTATGAATCCACTTCTTCATTTCAGCTCATAGTTTGAGTGCGAACGTTTTTACTCAATGACTGAGTGTATTAAATACTGCTTATTTCTCATACTCCAGACTTGCAATATAGCTAGTCATCTCCTCGAGCTCCATATAATCTGGTATATGGAAAGTAATTGTGATCAACGTTTGACATTCGTTTTCTATTTAAAGAAGTTAGCTTGATGCTAATGACTGGAACGAAAATGCGAATTAACCTCCGAGAACATTAAATCATATGCAAACTAACTAGATCAATATTTTTGATAAAAAAGACCGCGAATTTATTGTTTTCTCATCGGTTTCATCACCTTCTAGGTCAGTGAGACAGATCTCATTAACTGCTTAGCAAGTATAGACAGAATGTGATAAGCATGAATATTGTTATCACTTTTAATGGATCAGATTTCACACAACTCTTGACTTGATAGCAAAAACTAAGCATACAAGTGTATTTTTCATCAGTCTAAAATATCGCTGATTTTGTTAATAGGTAATATGCAGCTTGCTGATTAAAATGTCCCGTCAATCCACAATCAGTGAATATATGTGTGCACATGCCGTTGTGTTCAATAACGAAGAATTACCATTCGAAATAAAGTGAAAGGTGGTTGATGATTTAACTGACGGAAAACCAAACAATCACTACTGAGGAGTCCCATACTAAGACGAGACGGCCGTCTAGTGTTTCCAGGTTTTCAATGGTGATCCAACACTGACCGGTTCACAATCTAAATAAAACATAACGTCCACAACCCTATAATGATATTATTAAAAATGTCTTTAAAGAACGTTTATTTGTAAATCCAATTTTATTCTAAGTTACTCATAATTATGATGAACTTTCTTTTAATGTCAGGAATTTGAAAGAGGTTGGTTGTGAACTCTCAAATTAGGTTTCCGATTGTTTAGGATTTTTAATCAAGGCGAATTAATAATCCTTGAGAAACTGTCACCCTCCTTGGGATTCAAATTTATTTCACAGTAAGAAATATTAATGGACAGTTATCAGACCAACAGCTTGACCGTAAAAGAAAGCCAAGAGGGCCATAACCTTGCAGTCATTAGTATTTATTTAAAGACACCATATACTATTTATTAATGAGTTTTAGACAGTGCACAAGTTAGGGTTATGAATTTCTGTTATGAACAGCTTTACAACAAAACAATTTAACACCCTCTCCAATTGCCAAAGGGCTAGTTATGGTATTCTACTATTAAGTACAAAATGGATCGTAGCTTCATAATTATTGTTAATTTCAGGGTTGAATAAAATTGCTATTCAGTACCCTATGGTTCTTCAAGACTGAACGTTTGTTTTAAACCATAAAATCGTGAAATACTAAAATGTACACTAACTCACTCACTTATTCGCTATTCGTATCATTTACACGTGATTCTGAGCTTCTCCTTGGATTTGATTCATCTTCACAAAGCAACTTAACACAAACAGCTCCAGCATCATATAATGTAGGATAGATTGATTTCAATCCAGGACAGACATACCAGTCACATGCAGATAAACATTTGAATGGAGTTGGATCTACAAGCAAACGCGGATTCATTTAACATATATCCTTAGTATTAAGTGTGAATAGATGAGTAAAAAGATTTTATTTAAATGATAACTTTTAATATGTTGACGTTCAAACAGCCCTGAGAAAGACGTTACTCGAAACGTCTTCATGTTACTAATGTTGTTCTCCAATTAAAATGTTCAACACAAACAGATGAGTTATTTTAATATTACAAAATAAATCATTGATGATCCTAATTAAGAATGACGAACAAATCAATCAAGCTTCCCGATTAAACTTGATCACTGATTGTTTGTGTGGTATATCCACAGTCAATTTGTTCTTTTGTCATTAATGGGAAGGCACTTTTGAGTTTAAAGTACTTTTTAGAAAGTGTCGACAAAGCACAACGACATTGTGTTTTCTCAAGAAAAATATACTAGGATGACAGTCTTCAAAGACGACCACTAGCATACTGCTTGTGATATATTTAAAAATTACCTGGAATGGTTAATTCAAGATATAAGATCTTGGAATAACCTATCCATCGAAATAACAAAGTGACGTTTGTGACAAATTAAAAAAACAACTCAACTTTAAAACAATTTACTAACGATTAAAAATAAAATTTACTATTTCATCTACTCTCTTTGGAGAATTAGATTGAAATAAACAAGTTAAAGGTAGCTGTTAACTTGTCTTGATTGTCAATATCATCTTATCTTTTGTTGTCTAATTTTAGAAATGATACTAGTCGTGAATCAATTGGATGCCAAATCAATGTCAACGGTTTGGACGTTTGTTACACTACCTACAGGTGTTGGATTCGATACTCGGGGAGATCAGTGATGTTCATTGCTTCCTAGTCTCGAGTGATTAATCCATATTTGTTCTCATTTTTGTTAATTTTACTTAAGATTGACAAATTATTATTTTTTGATCAAAAAAACGAAGAATAAAGACACAGCATGGTTGTTTGAATTTTAACAATTATTTCGGATTTCCGATTAAACGCCGATTTTACTACGGTTTACCGAAAAAACTGCAATAAAAAGACTCAGAACGACTTGATGCATCCAGAAACATTCATTTGTTAGTCTTGCCTTGCTCCTAGTGAACACATTCACAAATGCATGCCATGGGATTATTCTTTTCATGACATAAATTATTCATTTTCAATTCTTATCTGATATGTGTTTATTAGTTAATTCGTTTAAGAGTTACGTACATTTAAGACTAATATATTATCCCTGGATAATTGTGCTTTCATATTCTTGGCCGTTTATTCTAGAATATTCTTACATATTCAACTTAAAAATATTCACATCATTTAGCACATAAACATCTCTTAACATTTTTTTCATACTTATTGCTCTTTTAATTCATCCTCGTTGACGAGACCTCTGCTGACGTTATGATATAAAGTGTGTATACTGATTTTGAATGATTCATATTATTATGTTTAGGTATTTAGCAGCTGATGGGGAACCGTGAAATATCTAATTCACGTTATTCTGCTAAATTGATTGTTCGTGCTTCAGTTAAATTAGTTTTAAAAAAATTAAACATGACATTAAAACGAATCATCTTTTTGTCAAAAAACAATAAACAGTTGAAAAAAATTATAATGATAACATCAAAGGTTATGAATCTTTAATCAATAAAATAAACGATAAACTTTGAGAGTTGAATTTCATTCTACAAAGTTGTAGAGCGGGAAAGATCGTTATCATATTAAATAGATATCAAACCGTTGAAAATGAAAGACTAATTACATGTTTAGGGAAACATTACTACAACGACTGATTGTACATTAAAATGTAGAATAACTCGTTAGGAATACATTTAACAAAGGTGGTATCGAAATCTCCTTGGTAGTATTGATGGAAAGCTTATTTGATACTGAATGGTACAAGCTATTCAGAAAAACTTGGTCCAAACTAAACGATGGTCAAGATTCAGCCATGAGTTTTATAATATGGTTGTTATTTTCTTGGAAAAATCTATTATCTAAAGTCTAATGGAAAAAAACGCAAGATCTCATCGTTCCCCAAATTTATTTGTAGTATTTTTTAATTAACTGTATTCGTCTTTTTTCTGGTAAATAAACAATTAAAAAGGATAACATACACGTATATAATCTGTACGTTAAGAGAATACTATTATCTTATCTCGACCAAATATAGGCAAAGATCTTAATTGTCTAAATAAAATATATAAATGCTTTATCGGAAACGTTAACATTACCGTCTTCGATATCAATTAGTAGAGTTCAGGAACATCAAAAAACAAAGACTAAACATCATATACAACAGAAATTGAGGCAACTTCTTCAAACACTTCACACGACAATGTGACTCCCCTCTCCATCTACCTCTACATGAACATCAGTTAGGTGTTAAACATCACAACATAGCTTCACTCGCAACAATGCATGTAGACAATTATCGACATGCTTTCGACTGGGGAAAAGCCGAAATATTGAACAGTGAACACAGAAACAAAACAAGAGGATTTTTACAACTCCAACATTCTGGCCACAGATCGATAACCAGACACATGGAAATCGACTCAATCTATCAAACAATAAGGAAGACGATGAACACCTGAAAGATCAGTTATCAGATGATAAGTGAAAACGACCAAGATAAACATTCGAATAACCACCACACATCAATGAGAAGCGACCAATGAAATTGCAGGTCAGACGATTGTGGAAAATTTCTAATAATTTACTTCTTACTGGAGTGTGTGTTGATGAAAGCTAGACTATTCAACAATCTAACTCAAAGAACAAAACACCTTGAAAATTAAGAAATACTTTTACCTCCACATAGAATCACAAAGAGATTGTTTTTATACAAATTTCGTTGTATTTCAGTGAGTGCAGCAGCCCCAGCTGGGTCAATGTGAGTAATTCCAGATATGTCCAACAAAAGAAATCTTCGTAATTTTTCCCCATCATGCTTCATTAGAAAGTCATGCAGGTCAACATGTAATGAAGGTAGATTTGGTTCAGTTTGGCGATGCGACAAATTACATCTTTCTGTCGTGAGTATCTGAAATTATTTCAGTACATTCAAATTTAGATGAAGGATGGGGAAGTGTAAAACAGAAAACAAAAATAGAAGTCTAAATTGTATATGAACAATCATCGAGTAACTGTATAGGACATTTTATTTATAATATCAATAACTAAACTCAGTTTATTCTCAATCTTATACCTGATTACAACTATTCCCACAAAGATTCTACGGTTACAGGTTGTACCAAACACGGTTTAGGAGGAGTTTAGGACGTAAGGTTAGCAACCACATCCACTAGAATACAAACTTATAAAAAACACGCTTATCACAAAATACCATTTAAACCTTTTGAACTCTGTCTTATGAGTCAAACGGTCTTCATATAAAAGAGCTATGAAGCTATATGATGAAATCTGAGACTCTTCAGACATCATGAAGCCCATGCCTATTTCTACAACTAGAGCAGCAATTAACATAGATAATTGGAGTGTCAGCATAATGTGCGAGACCTATATGACCAATAAAACAACTTCAGAAATAAGGAGATACAACCTGACGGTGCATGAAAAAAGTGAAATCGATTGGAACAAATCTGGATAGCAAATATTAGATTCAGGAGAGTTTCTGTTGTACTCTGATCATGAAGAAGAGAAAGATGCTACGCGCACACAGAGAGTTGCACTAGTGATATCGAACGAAGCATGTAGAGCGCTTATTTGGATGAGAATCTCATGTATCCACAATCATCAAATCGTTATTCAAAACAGAGTAGGAGGAGATCACAATGAATCTTGTCGATTGCTATACACTCAACAATAACAGCAACGAAGTTGATAAAGATCAGTTAAATGAGAAACTGAATTAGACTAGAAAGAAGTTTTCTGAAAATAAATCTCAAATAGGAATATTTTTGTCACTAAATGCGGGCTTGGTGAAATGGTGGCCTGGAAATTTGTCCAGTCATTAATCTAAAATTTTATGTAGAAAATATTGACAGCATGAAAGACGAATTCCTGTAATGTTTTCTTTCACATGTTCATTGATAATCAAACACATAACATGACTTAAAGAATCGTGATATATCGATTATAGGAAGCAAACATTGTATGAGTAGTAATATAAGCCATATTATTGTTTTTGAAATGGTGATTTTGTCTGATGAAATTTGTGAATGTTTGTTCCATGATTATTAGATTTTTGCATCGTTCCTGAATGTATTTACAATTTTGTATAATATTATGAGTTGGAAAACATTAATATGGGTTAATTTTTTTTAGCTAACAAATTCATATTTAACACTTTAAATGTATAGAAACGTAAGCGGTTGGTTATAAGCTGAACTTCAGTGAATGAAATAGTTATTTATGCAAATGTCCAGTTATGATAATTAAAACTTGAATGGTTCACTTAAATATTTTATATCATATGAGAATAAATGTTCAGTACAGTTTACCATTACATACATCTATTTAATTAGAAAATCTATAAAATCTAACATTTATTGGCAGCATGTCATATTTTCTGTCAATATCTGACCATGTTTTCCGAAGATAAGAAATTTCACTGTTGAACTGCTTTATTATGTACCCTATGTTATTTCGTATATGAATTGTATTGCAACGCACTCTATGATAGTAAAGGATATGATATAGAACCTCATAGGTGAAAGCATTTTTTTCCAGATTTTAAATCTGCCTTGTTGAAAAAGTGACAACCGGCACGAAACCTATCGCTAGAACATCTAATCCTTTCCCTTCAACCGCTTCACATATGCGTTTTAACATTACTTGAAAACGATAATAATTTTTTTTAGAAAAACATTTGTAAACAATTACTCACATCACTTGATTTACTGACAACATTACTATTTCTCAATAAGTAATTATCATCGGATTTTGTTCCGTTTCTCTCATTTAAAATTTTCGAAAGTTCATAAATATTATTCTTACTATCTTTTGTATTCACAGATGCTTCATTTAATTGACAATGATTGTGATATCCATCTTGTATTTTATCATTAATTCCATTGTGATGACTTAATGCATTATTATTAACATAATTGAAATCTTCATCTAACATCATATTATTAATTGTCTTGTAAATGCGATTTGTGAAGTTTTCAGCTGATGAAAAGTTTAATGAACCTAGAACACGTATTGCTTTGATCGATGACAATAGATAATCAGATTGAGTTTTATCTATTTGCGTTTTGGTTAATAGCTTGAGAAAATGAAAATTAATAATATCCAATAGTATATACATAAAACCCGCAAAGAGTTTAAAGACAGAAATTGAAAATACTTTCTTAGATTTTAATTGGGATCATGAACTGATTAATATTGGATCACTATTGAAAACCTGGAAGCATCGATCGGTCGTTTCGTCCGAATATGGAACGCCTTAACAGCGCGCTTCCACGATTCTGCACTCAGTAGTTTTACCCAGGACCTTTGGTCCCACACGCGAACGCTTAAACTATAGACCATTGAGCCAGCATCCAACGGTGGTTATGTTTAACTTCAACGAATCCACGATATTTCACGGTCGTCCACCATTATCTTCAGTAACTGCCTCACAAGGTCCTGGGTTCGAGTACAGAGTGCGGGATCGTGGGTTTGCACTCCTGAGGATCCCGATACTAGTACGAAACGAGCGTCCACTGTTTCTAGGTTTTCAATGTTGGTCTAACATTGACTAATTCATGATCTCAATTAAAAACTCAACAATCTCCATGATTCTCTAGTGGTAATTTCTTAGATATCTCATAAGTATATTATATTATTTTTAAATAGTTATCGTTCATTGAAGTTTAGTGACCCTAATCTGACTCCATTTAGGTTGTATGATGATAGTTATCGAAAAATACATGCGGTCAATCCCCTCATACAATTATTAACTTAACTCGCGTTAGTGAATAACGGAATTAAATAAGCCAGTTGCGAGGATAGATTGTATATACGTATATTTCATACAGTCGTTGGTCCGAACAGACAACCAGGGAAACTCAGGGAAATAAACGAAGCGAAATGAAACGACACAAAGTAACGCCCAGATGAGAAGGCAAATGAGCCAACTCGATCTGATCAAGCGTAACTCAATATTTATAGTCAGACCAAAAATAAATTACTGACATGTGATGAATAGGGTTAGTAATCAACATATACAATCATATGAAAACAGTCAGGGTTAATAAAAGAAGAATCAACAAGATCAAAATGCGGCTTGAGAAGAATGAATAAATAGGTCTGTTCAGAAGCTAGAGTAACCTATGTAAGCTTGACATAGAACTAGCCATTACAGAAGGTCATTTACATCATGAACTTGACATTATTCAAAGACTTAATAAGAACCGTTGATTACTAAAAAGCTGAACACTAAAAGTTTGAGATTTCTCATACTCTTAGAACATTCAAACTTGTCATTGATCACGATATCTTTAAACCACTGGACTGACATCCAGCAGTGCATATTTTAAACCACAATATATTCGTGTCAGTTCTATCTTCATATGACATCGACGATCAATTATTTATCGATTCGAACAACTAGAAAGTCAGTCACTGCTTCAATTCTCAAGCGATAGTAAACTACGATAAAAAGTAGTTATTCAAATTTTATATAGATCTCGACAGTGTATTAAAAATTAACTACGGTTTAGTCAGGTTATGACGGTAACAATTCAAGGGGCTACGATAAGTTACGGAGTACCATTACTCAACTTTAAAAGTATACACTATTCTAAAACAACTGATAAATACACCTCTCAACTAAGTGACTTTCTTCTGTGTAGTACATAGTGAAAGGTAAGTCATTAAAAAATTCGTAAACTAGTAAATATATTGGTAGGAAAAATAATACATGATAGATAAACGGACATGTATGATATTCTATTTGTGGATGTTGTTTCCTTAGAAAAAAAACATTTAATCGATTGGCTTTTTAGACTTTTCTCTTCGATTTATTTTGGGCGTTCCCCTCCTATTATTTTTATATTTTGTTGTTTGTTAAGAGAAATATTTTTGCATATACAGAAAATACTATTGCGAAATAAGTTACAAAAAAATGAATTCAAGAACGGAATATTTGGATGATTTGTTCAGCATGAAATCCATTTTCGTCATATGCGTTGGCCAAATCCAGCACGGGGATTATGGGTGTATAGAAGAATATTCTTTTCAATAAAATTTTTTCAGGTTCTACAATTATCTATCCAAATTATTAACCCAAAAAAGTGGCCAGGTTTAGGGCAAAGTGCAATGTTTGAAGTTATAGCATGTTAAACAGTTTAAAATTGTTAATATTGAAATAGCTCATATGCAACATTAACTTGAATCAACTTATATATTCAGTGAAATTTTAAAATCCATGATCGGGGTAAATATGGGTCAGAAAAGGTGAGAGGAATAATAGTGCAATTACAAACAGGATCAAATGTTTAAAAGACTATAATGTGTAAAAACTATACATAATTTTAGTAAGGAATAATAAAGTCGGATGAATGCCATGTAAATAAGTCATGTATTAGGGAGACTAATAATGATTTTGAACCAAAAATAATAATAATATAAAAATATGAAAATAAAGATAACAGACATTATTATATTTTAATAGTTTAATTCATGAGTTGATCTAGGCTAGACCACCATTAAAAACCTGGGAGCACTGAAAGGCCGTTTCGTCCTACTTCCAAGATGGATTTTCTAGAGTTCTAGTGAGAAGCCATGACCAGTGAAGTCCGATCCGTGTTGGGTGTGAAACAATTATCCAATTCAGATAACGGATAAAGGGTTGAGCAAGATCATAGATCGATTGAAGTTAGACATTAACACCGTTAAATGCCGACTCATTGGTCTAGAGATTAAGCATTTGACTGAAAAGTCAAAGTTTTAATACACAACTTCTTAGGTCGCTTCATCTTTCCGTCTTCACTGTTTAAGTAGTGTGCATCACCCAGAGTTTCTACTCAATTATCAGTTCATTTCATAGGTGAATGCTGATTATTACATTTAATTCTCACCAAAGGTTTTATTTCAGGCATAGAGATTTCTCCCCCAACTGTTTTCTATGAATATAGGACTATAGTACAGTACAATATACAAGACTGAAAGCATAAACATATTAAACTGAGAACTTGAAAGGAAATATCGGACGTAAATTATCTACCAATAAGCAACACTCATCCGCTTAGTGGACAGATAAATTACCTACAGTGTTGTTTAAAACACGTTAAATGAACGTTGAAAATATGACGAACAACCTCAGCCGAAAGTGACGTTAGTATTGGTTTACTTCTCATATTTTGTTTACTTGAGGGCACATATAATAGACTTAAACAACTTGATAGTCGATAATTCGATTTATCAGACATGAATAGCACCAAAAAACGTTATTGGGTGATCACTGAATAGTAATCAATGATGTTTTTGTTTAATCCTTATTATTCATCGATTTCTATCAATCAAGTTATGGTTACAGCTCTAATTGGCTTAACACTATGGTCTGAACAAAAATGGCATGATTTTGGGCTATGGTTTAGTAGAGATTTATTTAATTTATAGATCGTATTCATCATTTGGAGTATCACTGAAACTAAGACACACTAGATAGCTGTAACGTTCTAACTGAAACTCTTCAAAAAAGAACATCTATGAATATTGACTACGAATTAAGCTGACTAAGCTATAATAAATAGTTCGTTGTGACTTACCTCAAAATGTTCCTAAAGTTCTAATAAAAAGTCAGAACCGATGGGATTGAAGTAGTTGTCACCAACAGCATTGTATGATCGTCCCACTGTATTCCATATTGATCGGATTAAATATTGTACTCCTGGACGTTAAATCAGTCCCAACAGTTTAATGCTCATCACGAGGCTTTAAATTATTAAACCCTATCCCCAGTGGGGTTGTGGATACCCATTGTGGAGAAGTTCCGTACTAGATCAATGCAGTTGTCTAGTGCTCTTTGGTTTTTAATGGTACCCCAATTATAAAAAATCTGTGATGAATACTACTTAGAAACATGACATTAGTTACTATTCAGTGAATAATCCCCATAAATATTTCTTTCCTGCAGGAGAATAAAAAGCGCTAGTTAGTTGGATAACTACGCCATGAATTTCCGTAACTTAACTTTGTTATGGAAAATATGTATAGCAGTCACCGAATTCGAGTATTTGCGAAAGTATCAGTGAACTGACGTAACATTGAATTAGTAATTTAACCATAATAGATGTTTTTAAAAATGCACAACAAATTATAAGTTGATGAGACTGTTAAAAAATACTAACCACGCGACTACATATGGAAAATGCATTATATTATACTGATGAAACATAGAAAGAAAGCAACTATTTTTCGTTACGTGAATGACAAATTATTCTTAGGAAAACACTAAACTAATCACAATGCTGGGATACGTAATGTGATGTATTGTATTTGTAAAGATCCAAAAAACCAATAAAAAATGAATTAAAGCTTCATCCCATTGCACAAGCCAGTGGCTATCAGGACTCATTTGCTGAGTGGATAACGTGATGGCGTTTGAAGCGAACGGTACTGAGTTCGAGTCCCAGAGCGAACATCAACTCTAAAACGTAGGTAAATCCAGCTGAAGAGCCTCGAATAGGACAAAACAAGTGTCCTGAGTCCCACTGCTGACCACCATCCATCTGTATTAATTATGCTTGTGACTTAAGTCAATATCAAGGCAATCCGCTCAAGGTGAGCATATGCCAATAACAAACTGATTGATTTCAGTCCTAAACATCAATGGGATGATTCAAACAACCAATACAAAATAAATTATTAACAATTTAGCTTACTTCATAATGTTTATGAACATAAAGTTCTGTGCCTGAGATATTGCACAATTCCAGTAGTTTGATGCTTCGTTGTCTTTCCGTTAATACAATAAGACAAGAGATTAGACCAACTAACAGACCGTAAGTTACATCAAGTATGATAGTGCCCAAAAATGTTACAGTGAATAGAAACTGTTCAAAGAAAAAAAGATTGAACGTCCATAAAATAATGTGTTATCTGTCTTAATTTCATTTTGTAAGCAATTTAAATGTTGCACTTATTGTTTGTTAAATACACAATGTCAATCAACACGACATAAAGGTATCAAATTAATTATCTTTTGTAACCTGAGTGATTATTATAATTGTTAGTATGAGATAATGGATAATATTGTAGCTCATGATAAGGATTCTGGTGGTGTTCTGTTCGCTGAGTTAAATTCCTTGATCTTGGGTTAATCATTGTCTTTCTCGAGAACATCATTATCACACACTCCAGTAAGAAGTAAATTATTAGAAATTTTCCACAATCGTCTGACCTGCAATTTCATTGGTCGCTTCTCATTGATGTGTGGTGGTTATTCGAATGTTTATCTTGGTCGTTTTCACTTATCATCTGATAACTGATCTTTCAGGTGTTCATCGTCTTCCTTATTGTTTGATAGATTGAGTCGATTTCCATGTGTCTGGTTATCGACCCCCAAGAATCGAATTTAAATTTCCCAGCCCTAGCAGCTAGAGCTTAACTTTTAGCTCATTGAGTCGAGACTCAGTGCTCTACATATCAAACTTTAATCTGTTATCTGCATTATGTAACCATATTCTAATGCCACTGATAGACAACTGTCCCACATCTGAATTTTATTGACCACAGCTTTACTGAAACTACAAGGATAATCTCACAATTTTGTTACTATTGTGTACATTATTACTATTACTAAAGACGGTTTGTGAAGATTTCAACTAATATGAACTAAATTGATACATAAAAAGAAACATCTTTTTGACTAACCACTTAATGTAGTTTAATAGTCATTCATTTCACTTTCTTTCTACACATTAATAAATTTACAAGAATGAACAAGTCTATCAAAAGTAAATTATTTGTTAAATCAACTAAGCTTTATATGTACATATCAATAAAAGACAATGTTGTTGTTACTTACAAAATCTGTTTATAAGTATTCCATAGATTGCTTGCTTGCACTTTCAGCTAATTAAGTCATTAGCAGATACATAAATTGAACATTGAATACCAAAGTGAAAATTGATTTTCTCTTATGTAAATGGTCATCTTTTTAACTTAAATACAGTTTTGTTCTGGAATAAAAATTAACTAAGGGAACAATAAAATTGCATATTCTTCCCCATTACTAGAGACCTCCTATCCTGTTTTTCACAGCATAATTTCGATTTTAATTAATTTGGTATATAGTGCAATGTTAGTCCAATAATATCGATGACAATCATTTCACTCTTGAGATATCAGAACTCCACTGGTCAAAATTTCTCACTGGGACTTTAAGAACATCTTGGATTGAATCGACTATCATTGTTTGAGTGGAGCGGCCTCATAGAGACTGATTTAATTTGTGTGTTGTATGAGTTACAGGACTTTATTATTAGTGTGGGTAAAATTTACAACTCCAGATCCATATTTTCAATCTTTCGCATTACTTCAAGGAGAAAAACGTTACAATACTTAAAATAGGTGGCAAACAAATTTATCCTTTTGGGTATTTCATCATATTTTTATGGAATTCGAGAAAAGTAATCCTCATGAGTTATGATTACTCATTTGTATTGAGTAAGTAGTAAATTGATACTCTTCAAAAATCTATTTTGTAATAAGTTACACAGTTTAAACAGAAACCAGATGACTATGGTCGTTGGTTACTGTTAATAATCATGAGTGTGAATGATAATTTACTTTGAGGTACCTATGAGTTTATTATTTTTCTCTGTTTTTATATACAATACACTTTCCTCTTTTATAATGTGCTTTTCTTAAAATTGACCTTTACGTACTATTGATATATGAAGGGACCTGTGAGATACAATTCTATAGATCAATACAAAACAGTGTTGTCTAGATCTATAGTAAGGATTTTACAACTGAAATATCTGTCTCACAGTACACAACACAGTTAAACGTTCCAAATTTGTTTGAACGCAATAAGATGGTAATTAATTTGATTTTAAAAATGACAAACATTTACCAAAATCAATTCACTGGGTATTGGAATCTTCAAATCTATATATTGTTTCAACAGGGGTTCAGCACAAAATTTAATAATCATTAAGAACGCAATCGATGCAGCAGATATAAGTAGTGTGAACAAATTTGTCTCACGTATATTTTTGAACAAATTCACATAGACCTGGAATAGTAAACAATTTATGTGTACATTCGATGATATATTAAACAGAGAATCAATTTACCAAATGTATCAAAGCAAGCATTTATTTTGAGTTTAAGACTCAGTTGTGAACTCAACCTGTTACGTCTCAGTGATCAATCAATTGTATACATCTCAGTCCTACAGGGGTCACTCATCGCTTGAATAAATCAGTGGTTATGTCTCAAACTGTGATGTTAGGTGATGCGGGTTCGAATACTACAGAAAACATTAATTCCCTTAAGATTGCAAGCATGTCTTACTGATGAGTCCTAACTAGCACTAAATCTATATTCATAGTTCCCTAGCGACTACCTCCGATTACTTAACAAGTGAGTTGGATAGAAATATTTGATATTAATATATTATGATGACAATTATAAATGACATTTCTCTGAGACTAATTAAAAATTTGATTCTTAAATCAAATACACTTGTTATCAAATCATTCCCGTATAACATTAAAATAGCAGCATCGAAGAACTGTTGAGACTAATTAACTATAGTGTAAAATACTCTAGAATGTATAACTATTAAAATACTGATCGATAAAGAAAGATAATAAACACCCTATATTTCAAATAAAACTGAGTGTTGGAGTTGCTAAATCCTTAAATATAAAATAATAGAAAAATGCAAATTGATCAGATTTATTTGAAGAGATTTCCATTTAGTTCTTTCAGTATTAAATATTTCAACGGGTATTTTTTTCGGTGTTTAATGCATTTTCGTTGCTTCATTCAGTGTGATTTTTCATCCAAGTAATAGTTGATCAACATGGGGAATTCTTTAACTAACAATCACTGAATGTAATCACTAAATAACTTAGCGAATTCGAGTGTGAATTGATTTTCATTAGTTCAATACCTCAAATAAATCTTTCTTTCAAGACTTATGTTTTGGAGTGACAGAGGTTAGGAGATAAGTGAGCTTGATATTAATATCGTATTGTAATACAAGTTATCACTGCTTTTGTCAATATATCAGGAAGTCATAGAATTTACAGAATTAGTAAGTGTATGGCAGCATGTTAGCAGCATAACCTATTGACTTTAAGCTTGGTTCTGTATGAAATCATAAGTAGATACTATTGAGAATAAAACAACTGTTCAGTTGTTGATAAGTTTTCAAAAATCCATCAACTGTTGTCAACCAGTTATAAAATCTAATTTTAATAAACTACGCGTAAACAGCATAAAGCCTGAGGCAATTTGTTACGTTAACTAATAACGTAAAGTAAGGTTTAATGAAGACAACCACTTGTTTTGTGATAAGATATACTATTTGGATAGCCATTTCTATTAAATGTAAATGACATTTTGATTATACAATATTCACCGTTGATTTCGAGAGTAAACTGACGATTCGTTCACCTTAAACTTTAATTTCTTCAAGTCTCTCAGTGATCATGATACATTTTAACCATTGAACATGAATATAGTAATCTGTATTTCTAGCTTTAACTTATTTTATGATGAAACAGCTGTTCCAGTGCTTCATAACATTTCCTCTCTCTATTCATCTTTTTACGAATAATCCGGTTATCATTATGATTTTCTAAGTATGGTTCATTATGTTCTTGTAATTGGCGTACATTAACATACAGGCTACAGGTTGTAATAATCAGAAGTAGATCGGTTTTCTGTCCACGTATTCCGATTGTGCACTATGGATAAAGGAATATGAGTGGACCAATACACCTTATGATATCCGATCATCATTGATGGTCAGTGATGTTTTCGGATAAGCGATCATTAATAAAATTGACTTAAATTCATCATCGGTGAAGTCTATAGTCTAATAATCCAATCAAGTAGGGATATAGAAGCTGAATTCATAACATCACATGTAGTCAGTCTTTAATGTTTTCTATCTTCGGTAAAATATGAGAGTACTTTTACATTTGGTGAAATAGTTTCAACTTCACATAAAAAACAGTTAATTTAACACAAATGAGTTACAGAAATTCTATATTCATTATTTCAGAATGTGAATTTGCTTGGATTTCAGTGAAAGCATATTCTATTTTTTATTAAACATTTCTATCGATAATCGTTCTATTCATGACTGAGGTAGTCATTCACCATAATTATCATTATGATACTTTAGACCCAGAAATGATGTTGATCTGTGATGAAAATTTATTGTGCGTGTTGATACAAAACATTCACCAGGTTCGTTTCCTTTTGGTCAAATAAAGAGCAGCTGGCAGGTAACAAAATAAAAAGATTACGCACTTGCATAACACGAACTGGGGTTATCACTAACATTTCCACTGTTTAGTTTTGGTTCTTTCTCAGTTCATTTAGTGGACGAGTACTACATTTCAATGTAACTCATTAAAAACTTTATTTTAAACAGGTGGAGTTGTCCTCAGTTATTTTCCATGAACATATTCCGTATAGAACAACCCAACGTATCTGATGGAAACTACAAATATAGTGAAAGCGAAGGCTTGGGATGAACTTTTCAACAAAAATGACTCTAATACACAACACTTAATAAGTGAACGGAAAAGTAACTGAAAGTGTGATGCATAACACATATTGTGACATTGAACATATTGAGGATAACCCTAGTCCATAGTATGTTCCTTAGGTATTTAAAATGTATCTTAATAAAAGCAATCAAATAAAGAGTAAAAACTCCAAAACAAATAGTAGTTGCAATAAAAATGATTTCTACGGACTTTGTATGACATTATGGATTCATAATCCTAGAGAGTTTCAAGGTAAAGAATCTGCTGTCCAGTATTTCCTGACTTCCAGTAACTTCATAGGAAAGTTGAAGAGTTTTCAGAGTATGGAATATTAAAAAGAAGAAAGGCCGCTATATATTGCTATAAAAAGTATGCGATTAATTCTCAAATTTTGGGCTACAGATTGTAGCCTAATTCTTATTTCTTGATTTAAAATCAACTTGTAGTCATGATAAAAAGTTTTCAGTTCAACTGTCTTTATTGACAAGAAAATAGTAGTCAGGCAAAAAGATAAAAGAAAAGTATGACAGATTATATGTAATAAGTTCATAAAATTCATAAGTAAAACGAAAAGAGTGAAATTTTCTTAAGTCTAATCTTTTTTTCAATCTGATTACTAGATCTTGTTTATAAATGTTAACATCATCCACCATACAAGTTTTATATTATCTCAAACCCACATGATTTTGTATTATGGCAAGCTTTTCATCTCCCATACAAATCGAATCATAAAGATCTATCATAAACAATCATATGTACTACAAGTTATCACATTTTTCCTGCTCAATATGTATGATGCTGGCTTAAATCAGGTGTATTCATACAATTTGAAGTTAAAACCTGTCTACTTGAATGATGAATCACTAAGCTTATTACCTGAAATTGTTCAAACAAACTGCATAGAGACATTCTCCGACAGCGGAAAGCTGCTTGAAATATACATGAAACCCAACTAACAATTTTGACTGATGTCAACACTATCCTGGAAAGAGTTATACGGTGTGATTTTCGAACAGTTAACTGATGATTAGTAATTAATGTGACCTCACTTCCAGCATTCCAGCATTATAGCTAATGTGACGAAAGCTCTAACTAGAATTTCTAACGGTTACTTTTAACCTCAAGTCTTATTCTTAATTCTTTACACTACTTGATAATGTCATTATGCCTTAATAGGTGGTTGGAGTATCTCAAGGTGATTTTCGAATCACTCGAATGTTGTCGGGAAGTTCTAGTCTTGCAGCCCGGTGACCTTAAGAGATTAGCCTTTAAATGAACATCGACATATATGAAGCGTGTAGATAACCCCATTTGATTATATATATATATATATATATATATAACTATCGGTAGTGATAATGTTTAAATTGATTACAAGAAATGGCCGTAAAGGTGACCAGATAAACAGTTTTAAAACCAGTTGTTTTCACCTATGGAAACAATTATGTTTAGTCTAATTAAAAAGAGTGGAATTAACAAATTACAGAATAGTCCATGCAGATGACCCTAGAAATCAATTTGCTAATAAATAGACATCTACGTGAACATACTCGAAACATATTTATACTTGTTTTGAAGTTTATACAAAAATCAATTAGCTCTTTACTACGAATAATCAAATAAACCAATGCAATAAATAGACGTAGTAATTTATATATAGCCATAGACTACTTGTAGGTCATATTTTGTGATGTGCTTATAAGAAACTTAATGAAAATAACAATTTCAAACAAATAACAGAATTTATTTTTGAAGACTATTGAGACTGGTTCAATTTGTTGAAGCGGTCTTATCACATAAGATAGATTCCATTAGTGACCAATTTTGAGATAGGCTTTTAAGTTTATAGTGAAAAATCGTAATTTCTCGAGTCTATTTATGAAGACCTAATGAAAATAAAGATATCTGACTAGACAGGTATGAAAGTATAACTATTTTTTCAGTAAACATGTATGTAATATATGTATTTGATAAATACCAAACATTTATAAACATTTCACAAGTAGTCACATTTACAATGTTAAATCTCTTCCTAATCATATAAAACATATTTCTGACAATTAATTGAAGGGTTTCAGCATAACAGCAAGAGGATTAATTAATAAAATTTATTATCATATTGAACTATGAATGAGATAAACGTATGTTAACACAAAGAAATCTGGCTTAGAAATTATTGATGAGTCTCTATAGTAGGACAGATATAAAGTCAAATGTAACCCATTCTAGTGTCCTCGGAATATCGGACTCCAATTTGATCGTTTAATTATTGTTATCGGCTTGTACATGTTGCCAATCCTCGCATATAATTATCGACTTAACTCGCGTTAGTGAATAACGGAATTAAATAAGTCAAATAGGAGAATATATTTTGAATGCGTATATTTCATACAATCATTGATGTGAAAAGACAATTGGGGATTTGTAGCGAAGAAAGCCAAGAGGAGAAAGAGAAAGAAGAGAAACCAAATGACGCGCAGTGGAGAAGGAGAGTGAGCCAACTCGATTTAACTAAGTGTGACTCAATATTTATAGTTAAACAAAAATAAGTTACAGTCGCATGGTGGATAGGGTAAGTAATTAGCAGGCATACGATCACATAAAAGACAATCAACGTTAGTAAACAAATAAATGACAGGGTAAAAATATGGCTTGAAAAGAATAGATAGATTGGTCTGTCCAGAGGCTAGAATAACCTATGTGGGTTTGACATGGTGCCAGCCTCTACACCATAATACTCGAATTTAGTGGACTGTATTTTTCAAATCTGATCACTATATGTACTCAATCAAACCACATGTGCATATAAAGATATTATGGTCTAATATTAGTGAAAACCAGGAAGCACTAGAGTTTAACCATGTTCGGTATCAGGAAGTCACTCACTGTTAGCATCGGAAGATAGGTGCCTAATATCGAAAATTGATTGAAGTTAGAAATAGGAATTACTAAATAGCGGCCCAGTGACTTAAGGTTTAAGTACTTATTGAAACATTTGAAGGTCCTGAACTCGATCCCAAATGAGGTCGTGGGTGTAGACAGGTAGACACAAAAGAGCTATCCAACGCTTCTTAGATTATAATAGTTGTCTAGTAAGGATCAGTTAGTAGTCTAAGGTATGAAGAAGCTTTAGCAGAACATTTTGGAAAACAAATCAGAAATTTGAAGAAAACATACTTTAAATTCAGCTAAAGACGGAAAAACATTGGATCTAATTTTAAACACTGAAATCTATCACAAAGACACTACATAAAAAGTTTTTATTTTAATGAATCTTGGATGGTTTATTCTTAAAACTTGTGAATATTTATAGCGTAGTTCAATAAATAAAATGTATTAGATAATTCACTCAGATCAGTTTTTTGCATTCCCATCACAATACTTCTAAAAGCCTTTGTGATACACGGTAAAACCAAACGTTCCTGATATTTTGTTGTTTTCACCACGAACTGATGGTAACCGGCGAAGCTTTGGAAACCTGGATGTACTGAAGAGTTGATTTTATTTATTATTTATTTCAACACATAAATATTGACACAGATTGAACTCATGAGTCAGTTGAAGCTAGACCACATAAATATTGGTACAAGAGGGCACCAAATATATATGCGCCACACCATATTTGTGTGTGTGGGCTGTGATACTGCCCGGGTGCCCAAACCGAAGCACGTGGTTTTTTTAGGGGGCCACACCCCGAGCCTTCGACCTGAAGGTCTGACCCATAAGACAGTGGAGCATCGTGGTCTATCCTCTTGAACCTTTAAATGGACTCAAATAGATTTTTGAGAGTCCATGCATCTAGGCTATTCAGGGTTAGGTATATATGGTTACGAATAGACGTTTAAGGTTAGTATTTACATTATGAACTAATGTCAGCTATAATCTAAAAGCACTCTGTAGTTATTCGGTTGCACAAACTTTCCTCGAAAATCCAAGAGGCGTTATCCGAATAGTTCGTCTAGAAAACATAGTGACACCAGATTAAGGTTTGTTTCAGAATTAATGGTTTAGGTTTAGAATTTAAGGACAGTGTTGCTTAAGAACCTGAAAGTTGTGTTCTCGAATCCGATTTCCTCGTTTCTCTATTGTACTCTTACTGTTCACATAATCAAACTATAAGACGGAGTCCACTGATTACGAGTACGCCTTACCCCTGCCTGGCTAATAACCTTTGCTCCAACCAATAACATGAATAATCGACAACAAAAGACTGTAAGCGAAGCCCTCAGAAATACTTGTTCCTACTGGACCAAAGAAATTTAATCCTCAATAGTCAGTCAGGAGACGAACGCAGTAAGCCAATGAATTATTTATTATTACTTATTTATAATGGCTCAAAAACCCACTGATTTATGAGCATGAACATACCGCACCACAAGTAACAAACCATAGATTTGCACACCCATGTATACGTGATTTAAGACAAAATGAATAATGAATTATTAAACAATAATTCTTGACGAGCAAAACATATATCTAGCGTCCACACCTAATGGTCTGTAATGATTTAGAGAATTTTCATCATATGTGAGTAACAGTTGATATCATAAAATAAAACTGCTCAACTTCATTCATGATATGATCATCAATCTGATGATATAAATGACTCAAATTGCAAAGTTTGTTAACTAACCATAAAGAATGAACCAGGTCCTTGATATTTCTTTGCAGACTTTACACCGAACAATGAACTGATTTGACTGCTTAACACATGAAAACCTGCGCCCGATGTATAACCAGATACCATTGATGGCGCTAAATATGACGTAAATGTACCCAATTGGCAAAAGCCAATAATAAGCTTTAAATGAAATGAAAAATTCGAATTTTATATGAAAAAAGAGGACAGTGAGATTAAAAACTAAAGAAAAATACACACATTTAGTGTATTTGCAGTGAGATAGTTTAATAGATTTTCAAAAAGCAAATTTAAATGGATCATTTCGGGGGAGATAATTTTGAGTTTTATTACCATAGTCGAAAATTAAATCACTAGATATTGGTAATCCTTATTGCCAATGTTCCTTCACGTTTATGTGTATGTCTACCCTGCCTCATTCTTAGTCCTAACACTTATAATTTTATATCACATGTATTTCTTACTCTGACAACATCTCCCTTAGTATAGATTATATTCATATGAACTTATTATCATTAGGGTTGTATTTTACTTCAAATAATCAGACTAAACTTCGGCTGACATTACTGGAACGATTACTGAGATTCCTGACCCTTATTGACTAAGATTTAACGGTATGATTATAATTATTTAATAATAAGTAATTGGTTAACATACGTTTCGGAATGTGCGCTCATGTAATTAGGAACACACTTTGTGTTTCCATTAGAAATTCCCTAATTGGGTGTCAATGGTGCATTACTGTAGTTCGATTAGCTGAGCTCCATTTAGCGTAAACTGTTTTAATTGGTTGTCAAAATTCTTATATTTAACCTTTGAATTTTTTTTAAATCCGACAGTTTGATTGTTATAAAATTTTAACTTAAGAGAAGAGTCACATCAATTCTATTCGAGTGAGACCTCCACATCTGAAGAGGAAATCATGAGAAGACGCCGGAAGTGGGTAGGACATACATTGAGGATATCATCAAGCTGCACCACGAGGCAAGCACTAACTTGAAATTCTGAAGGGAGACGGAAAAGAGGAAAACCAAGGAACACACTGGTCAAGGGATCGGAAGCAAACATGTAGAGGTCTTCATAATACAATCGACCACCAAGAGATAGAGAAAGGGAGAAAGTAATCCGCCTTGTCTGGTACCGGTCTTTACTTGGAATCGACTGTCAACTGACCTGCATGCACGGTTTTTCAGTGTATTCTGTCGTACGAATTCCGGATGATGGTGACGATCTTCTCAGGCACATCACAGTGTCGAACAAAGTTCCATAAGATTCTCCTACCCTCACTGTCAAATGGTTTCTCATAGTCAAGGAAGTTGATGTAAGGTGACGAGTTTCATTCAAATGATTGTTTACCAATAATCAGTAGCGTCACAATTTGGTCTGTTTATGACTCATCCTTACGAGACCCGAATATTTCAATAACACTGTTAAAAACTTTTTCTAGTGCTGATGTAGTGAAGGAGAACACAGATGAGGACAACCGAATTACAGAGTTACTTGGTGAAATAGAAAAACCATACTATGATACCTAATTTGTAAAATGTTCAATAATTGTCTTGGACTTCATTCTTCTTGCATTTCTATACTAATTGCTATCTATTCCCGTTCTTCCTTTCTTGATCTTCCCAATCTTCTGCTGCCAGACATTAAATTCCTGACTCGCGTTATATACTACTTATGTCAATATAAGTAGCACGCACCACACTGACAGTAGTGTGATGCCACTGAAGTTCTCAGACTTGCTTTGGTATTTTGATGACGTATCGTTCTTTCTAGTCTGTCGGCACTTGTTCTTCTTTCCAAATCCTTCTAAATAGAGTGTGGAGCATGTTTGCAGTTACCTCTATGTGTGACTTGAGTGCTATCTTGAACCCAATGACATTCTTCAGTGATGCAAAAATGATCGATCTACTTCTCTGTATTTTGATCCAGTGAAACCTGTCTAGCTTTGTGCATACTCTGTTTTGAATGAAGATTTGATGGTTGTGGATACATGAGATTCCAATCCTATAAGCGCTCTACACGCTTCGTTCGATATCACTAGTGCAACTCTCTGTGTGTGCGTAGCATCTTTCTCTTCCTCATGATCAGAGTACAACAGAAACTCTCCTGAATCTAATATTTGCTATCCAGATTTGTTCCAATCGATTTCACTTTTTTCATGCACCGTCAGGTTGTATCTCCTTATTTCTGAAGTTGTTTTATTGGTCATATAGGTCTCGCACATTATGCTGACATTCCAATTATCTATGTTAATTGCTGCTCTAGTTGTAGAAATAGGCATGGGCTTCATGATATCTAAAGAATCTCAGATTTCATCATATAGCTTCATAGCTCTTTTATATGAAGACCGTTTGACTCTGATGGCAAAGTTTAAAGGGCTTGAATGGGTTTTTCAGGTTAGCATTATTCAGCAAGTTTGTTTTTATACTGGATGGGTTTACTAACCCCATGCCCAACCCTCCTCCAGTATCCGGGGTTGGAAACCTACATTAATTGGAGGAGAGCTCCAAGCGGAGTTATTTATATATTGAAAATAAATACAGAAATTACTGCTAGGTAAATACTTTTCCAAATGTTCGACTATGTATTTTATTCACATGTTTCATTCAACTGTATTATGACTCGAAAACTCGCGACATATTTTGTTGCCCTATTTGAATAACCTTTCTAACCTAAAAATCACTATTCTGAGTTACTTAGGCCGTAATAAGTAAAAATATTTACTATTTTAATACACAACATTGTCTAATTTTTTAACGGATGCCTTATTTCGGTCAATGTAATACAATAATGCCCGAATTAAAATTGTGCAGACTTATGAATAAATTATTGCAAACACGTGTTCTTTTTAATATCCTTTGTTTTTGAGTAATTCATGGTAATCCGTTTATTATTTTATTTAACTTGCTGAGTTACCTATCTACTTCTAAACGTTTATTTGCTCAGCCTGTTTGACCTAAGTATTGAAGTTTACAAAATTGTATGATTTATTTGTGCGTTTTTTTGTTGTTTTGAAAATCCTTCAGATATTTTAGGGAAATAGGAAGATGTTTTGATGAAGGAACCAGGCATTTTGGAGAAAATATGAATATTCACCTACATTCCATCAATGTTGGTTGCTTGGTTTTAAATCTCTAGGACCTTCAAGTTGTCTTGGCTAATTGATAGCACACAGCTTATGTTCTATAGAGTACATATGCTTACCAACTTTTAAGTCTAGGTAGCTAGATATTGGTATGGTTTACTTAGCTCTTAATAAGATGCAAGCTTCCCGTCATTGAATTTTGGATTTTACGCCAAAATAGAGGAACCGCCGCCTTACATTTGATTGGTTCATCATTATTATATATTTTTATTACGAAAAATTGTCAGATGTAGGTAGTCAATTACTAATCATTGCTGTGAGAACATCTTTGAATGCGTTTTCTTAGAATCTTTTACAATTAGAATGTAACTGGGAAATGAATTTCTTGGTAAATACTGTACTTCGAATTTCCTACTATGTACAAGTGAACAGTATAAAAATTTACTGACCACTTAGTGGGAAAGTGGTATATATATATATATATATATATATATATATATACTATTGCAGTAAATATTTCTATGAATTTAGTGTTTATCTTATTGTGCTACTGAGCAGTGGCAACTTGGAACGATGTAGCTGACTGAATGATGGTCCATGATGCCGATCGAATTTCATCGATTGAGTTGTAATATGATTTTTTTTCATAGAAGACCTAAAATTAAATGCATATTATTTGGATAGGTAGTCGTAAGTATGGTCGATAGAAATCCATGATCTTGGGTTTCATTCTAGTTGACCCACGATAGCAAGAAATATCTGTAATAATTAGGAATTATTGCTCTCAGGTAGAATAATGTGGTAATTATTATTGTTAATGATAGTTTTAGTAGTGCGATAACAGCAAATTACCAGCATAAATGTATGAGATATCTCAGACACTATCATCTGATATAAGTAGATGATATAAATTTGTGGAATTTGTCAATTGGATCATATTCTAGACGACCATCACCTCAAAAAAATAATCGCATCTAGCTTGATGGTATGCATGGAGACGAAAATAGAGTTTTAAATGTATTTGCTTTCATTAAACTAAATTACAATACTTGATTATAAAATAAAATTATAAAACTTTTGTCACTCTTTTTCAGTAAAATCTACCACTATTAATTCACGGGTTATAAGTATTTGATCATAGATACACCCGAAGAATTGCTTGTGCATTTTGGGACCACTGATTAAAAAATGTTGAAGTTAGAAACAAAGTACCAATTAGAAGGGAAAATCGATTTATGCAGTGATAATGAACCGTTATCAAATGAGGTGATAAAGAAATGTGTTAATTATGCCCAAAACGTTCGAACCTCGATTTCAATGTGGGAATAAATTATAAGAAGCTAACGGTGACCAATTCAATATATGAAATCACTTCATGAGATCAGTGACTGCAGGAATGGGGTGTGCTACTAGGTACAGACTATTTGATTGGTGTCCGCTCGACGATCACAATCAATAGTTAGAGATGATGGGTGTTATAGCCCAGAATCAGTAGTAGTGGCCCAGATGCACTCACTTTTTTCTTTCCCCTGAATCTTGAGTCTCTAAATTACCATATACATTTTGTTTTGTGAATCGATTCTATCTTCTCGAATCACGCTGTCAAGGCCTAATTCTTTATTTTACTACTGATACTAATGCTACTCCTACTACTGTAGGATTTATCCCTATACTCTGACCCTGTGGATCTGGTATGTCAGCTTGAACAGATTCAGACGCACTGATTTAAAATTCATTCATCCTTTTTTAACCTACGATCAATTTCCGGTTATGTTTAATCTCCCGTTTTAAATGAATATGCGCATTACAAGTAACTATTACAAACCTACATACTTTAATATACTTGATTTTTTGAAATTATTAGACCATATTAAATTATAAAGGAAGTGAATTAAAGCAAATGTAAATTCTATCTATGAACTATTTTTATAGTGAGATTTTGTATTGAACCTGTCTTTCATGGTATATATATATGTGTGTATCACTTTTAAGTTCTGATTAAATTTTACTATTAATAATAATAACAGATTAATTCCTCTGACATTAGTATTAAATAAATAAGTCATAATTGTGGACTGACACAATGGATGACAAATCGAACCCAGAAGTATCATCTTTACTCACTCTACACCCGTAATGACCCGGGTTTATAATCCCAACTACCATAAGAAATACACTTATCGCTTATTGTATTGGCTGATATAAAAAGTGCTATTTTAAACCTAATGAAATTCGCTAATGTCGACTGAGTGGTGTAAACGGCATATTGTCCACTGACTGACCTAAACATATGGAGTCACATTTGAAGAGCCATCTTAAACTAAGTAAGAATGCATGTCCAGTGCACTCATTAGTTTACATTTCTAATTTGGATTCATTCTCAATGCTGCGCAACCGTTATCCATCGCCATTGGTAATACATGCTTTATGCACATGGTTGTTTGTTATGTCCATAATTAAATAAGTTAATAACCATAATAAGCTATATGGCTATGTGGAGCTGAAGTTTTCATATGAGGCCGGAGGTTCGCCATTGGTATTGTGGATGGTTCGACGTTGCTTTGGCGAGTTTTGCTGACTGTTCATGCACAAAACTGGTTTGCTGGTTAACCGATTTCATTCACACTGGTGGTCGCTTTTCAGTGTTCTCAAGGGCCATTGTCATTTGGACATTGTAAGGTATGTCACCATTTCTAACATTATTGAGTTTGACTGTCGTGTAAGCGGGATAGGTCAATTTTGGCCTGTTCGTGCTGTGCATAATTGATTCACACGATCATTGATCGGAATAACTATACATGTGACGTAAATGTGTATATGAATGGTGAGAATGGTCCATCAGGGTGCTTCTTACCTGCGTGGTTGCGCCACAGGGTTGAACTGTACTATTCAGATTGTAGCATGAAAGCCTAACGGTGTCCGGTTCTCCTGTGAAGCGGGATTGAGCTGTACTGTTTGGGTTGTCATGTGAAAGTCTGAATGGTGTCTGATTCTCCTGAAAACCAATGTAAAATTACCCTGGCCCACAAGTGTATATTATAAAACTATTATATAACTATAATAACTATAAAATCTTTTGTATATCCGTTACCATCATTTACTTTGATCATGGTACACCCTATCTTTATTTAACCAGTCAACAAATAGTGTAATTTCATTATATCAGTCATAAAAAGAGGCTGCAGGATATTTACGAACGTTTGACTAGTTAGCCATAACTGAGAATGAAGACCTTTAGAGCTGGATTATAAAACAGTAACGCAATGTAACTACAAGCTTCTTCAATGAAGTGACACACCTCATTCAGAAACCTTTGGTTATTTTAGTTGTGCTACTACATGAATTCGTAGGTGACAAAATATTTAAAGTATTTTCAGTATGGAGTTGTGGAGATTGTTGAATTTCATTGAAATTATGAACCGGTCTTAGTTAGACCACCACTGAAAATCTAGAAGCACTGGGTGTCCGCTTCTTCCTGGTCGCGGGATCCTCGAATTCGGGATCGGCTTATGTTTCCATGAAATTTACAAACCCATCCTGGCGATTATCGTATACATTCTAGTGACTGGTTACAAATGTTAACTCTCTGAGTTCTGATAAGAAGCAGTAACTAGTAAAGTTCAACCGTATCGAGTGTGCACCAGTCACCTATCAACGATATGGGAATATGCTTGCGAAATGTCACAAACTGGTTGAAGTTAAACCAGCAAATCATTTGATGCCAATTCAATGATCTAACAATTAAGCACTCGTCATGATATTTGAAGGTACTTGATTCGATTCTGAGTTGGCTTGTGGATATTCACTGTCTAGGAATTCCATACTAGGTCGAAATAACTGCCCAGTACTTCATGATTTTTTAATTATTGTTTAAGATAAATCTGTTATGTAATCTATGAACTAAGTATCGGAGATTTTTTACATTTTACATTTACATACAGTCTACTGACTTAAATTATTAAAATAACCTAATTAACAACTAAATTTCTACAGATTTACTAAATGCAATCTACTTAGTAACCAGTTTTTTAGTAAAATCAGACAGGGATGTATTTGAAAAGCACCCAGTGTGAAAATCTTTCAAAAAAATCATTATTAAGAGAACAGTTAATCATGTTGAGTAGTTGAAAACGTTGAAATAAAGATTACTGAGGATTTCTTTAAAATCTTCGAATTAAATAAATATCAAAACTTGCTTGTATAATTCCAACTAGAAAAGTAAGCGTCACGGCTACAATTGCTCTTGGTTCTGAATATTGTAGTGGCAACTTGTTAGTTATTATATCTTCAACTAGTGTAGAGTTTGAATTTATGATGGAATTATGATGATTAACTGCGACTTTTGAACTATGCTGTTCAATTGGGCCAACAATCAGTAGGCTTACAACAGCGAATGTACCTAAATTAAATAAAAACAGTTATTTATAGTAAATTTAAGGTATAATAAATCCTAATGACTGACCATTTGCTATCAGACCTACAAATCTCGGTTTTTATTCTCAATGTGCTCGTAGATACCCACTTTTGAAGAGTTGCATATTAAGATGAAACAGCTAACCAATACTTCCTCCAACCACCTAACATCTCAAACTTATAACGTATTTTACCACTATTTACATAATATGGAAAGTGTCATCAGTATAGAGTTGTGGAGATTATTGAGTTTTGACTGAGATCATGAGTCGATCGATGTTAGACCATCATTGGAAACCTGGAAGCCACTACCGAAGACAATGAACCGAAGGTTCTTGGTTCGAGTCACACGTATGGGACCGTGGATGCGCACCGCTGAGGAGTCCCATACTAGAACGAAACGGTGGTACACTACTTCCAGGCTTTCAATGGTAGTCCAACATTGATTAATTCGTGATCTCAACGAAAATTATCATTAGTTTATTGCGAGATAGATATTGAAGATTTTCAATGAGAATTTTATCAGCTTTATAATGAACCACTTATAGAACAATATGATTGATTAGTACTAATACTATACCTTGAAATGACTCTGTACTTTCAAGAATACAGAACACGACATCCTGATATATCGATTGATCGCAATCCTTGGATTCGTTGTAAATTATTATCAGTACTTTTTAGTATAAAGAACAACTGTATTTTGTGTTTGGTTTTCCAATTTACTCATATTTTGATATCGATAAAATTTAGTTGACTCATATTATTCGTAAAATATTTAAATAATTCATTTTCAGTAGTTGTGCATGTGACTTCAATCATCAAAAATGGAGGCTACTTGAAATTACGTCATTTTAATGAGTGAGTAACTATAAATTTACTTCCTGTACTATTTAGTACTTTTTTAACAAGGTATAGAGTTTCGAGACAACCAACACAGTGATTTGAATTCGAACCCTTATCACATAGTACCACAGTTAGAGACCTGGGGGGACAACTGTTGAGTCTTTTAGTCTGGTTGTTACTTTGCAGAGTAACCAACAGAATGTAATCAGCAGTAGGATTAGATAACTAGGAAGTGATAAGTAGTTGTTTCGTCTTATGTCTGTTCTCTGGTAGGGCCAAACAGTTAACTGTTATTTCTTTTATTTTAGTGATTATTTAATTAGGATAATTTCGTAATGGAAAACTTCATTGTTCAACTGTTTATCCGCCTTCTACATTTCTGAGCATGAAATGTAATGAAGTAACAGTACTGAACCTTGTTTATCAATCAAATTACTTTGTTTATGCTAACAAAAAGGTCTTTTCTCAAAAGTATTTGATCAAAGTAATTTATATATTGAATAAATTCTATTTACATTCACTTATATAGGAGTGTAATATTTGCTCAACTCACTATGGAATTTACATTAAAACTAGTTGAAGTTATCAAAGAAAATATGAGTAAAGTTAATTCCAAATAAAATCATAATTATTTTCTAAAACTGAAATTCAAAGAGTCACTTATCCAAAACATCACTTAATTGACTTCCTTTACTTAATTAAAGCCCGATTATATCCATTTCCTTTCATTTCAGCGAATTCAGTTCAAACTGATTAAAGAAAAATTCACTTGGTGTTGTTTACCTGTATCTTCCCATTGTTATTTATGACTGCAATTGGTCAGTCTCTTGTTGGCATATGTGCATCCTATGCGGACTGCCTTGATATTGCCTTAGGTCACAAGCTTTATAAGCAAAGAAGAATGAAGACAATTCAGGGAAAAAAACTTTCTTTCCGACCATATCATAAACTTAAGATGTAAAATCTTATTTAATATGCCTCGATTTTTACTAGTTAATATTACCATAATGCTAATAATCTAAATATCTTGACTTCGGATTAGACATTACCGTATTACTATACTGGTTGATACAGTTCGGTTGTCATTAATTAAAACTTAGATATTATTACACTGATTATCCCTTGAAGACCAAGCGGTGCATTTTATTAAGTGAAGTTATTCGTCGTATGAACAGCTGTAGTAACATCCCCGATGCTGAAATGAGGGATGACTGTTTCAGTTATTATTAAAATATCACATCCTTGACATTACATAAATGTTTTAATAATAAATATCACTAATCACAAACACTAAGATGGATAATATATCATGCCGACTCCTCCCAAACATGAGCATAAAAAGTCGATTGGAGATAAGATTAAATTTTTACATAGTTTCTTTTCATTAAATTTAATTTCTTTAATGAGGCTATCACTTGTTAATATTCGTTTACAAAGTGAGAAATATAACAAATTTGATAGATGGGGAAATTCTCCTCATTTCAAAATTAAATTTGCAATCTAATACTACTATCAAGTAGTTTAAACTAATTCATTAAACCATCCCATCCCATTAATTTACGGCAATCGGTCAATTCTTTCGACAAGTAATTAACTCATATCCGTATAAATAGTACCTAAATATGATATTCAATATTAGTACAGCATGAACAAACCTAAGTAATAGCACTGAAACCTATATGAATTTAAAAGGTCTCTTAATTTAGTGTATTGTTCAAGCTATTGTACTACCATTTTATCAAATGTGCATTTACTTCCATCAATTTCTCTGTTAAACAGTTGCTTTAAGTAACTAATCACGTCTTTTAACTGTATGTCCTTACTTCCTTTTTTAGAGTGTTTATAATTTATGGAGAATCTAATTAGTGAGAAACTCGAAAAGTACAACCACTGTGATTTATGTATTTTCCTACTTTTTATAGTATTTAAATAAAGCAAGAACAAATATTGGTGCAGAATAGTATGAATTCATATTCATATTTGTTCTTGCTTTATTTAAATTCATAAAGGGAACCAATTGCATGAAATTTTTATAGTATAATTGATGCGCCAAATGTATATGACAATGAAAAGAGATTTCAAGAGAACAAGAATGGTTACAGATAATTTAGGAATGACTATGAATGATAGCTAATTACTATTTAAAAGCCATTTACGCATATTTTCTTAATATTGACAGATTAATTGGTGAAAAAAAGGCAGTGTCATTGTAATACTGAATATTTCGTGCTAAGGTTTCTTCATTGTAATCAAACGTATGATAATGAATCAAGACAGTATTATTCGTCCTTTGATCGTATTTTCCGCACATTATATTACTTACTTAGTACTACCTGTTAGACAATTTCAGAGTAATTCTTTATTAGTAAGTAATATCAGCTGAATGAACAGAGAAAATCCAAAAAAAAAAAATTAATGGTTATTTTACCACAGTTTTGAACTCATCAATGGTGTGCAATCAAAACCCACCCAATCGATGAACTTAAAATTTCGTAGAAAGCTAGATAACATTGCTGAGAAATATTAGATACCTAAAATGTATAATACTTAGAAATAAAACAGTGAAAAGTTTCCAAATATTTTCATTAAAGTTTAAAACATCGTGTTATTATAGGTTTGAACCATTGAAGTATATATTTCACATAAATGCTACTGTGAACACCATAAAAACTTGAAGTTATATATTCCATTTCAATTGGAGTAGTAAGTGTGTATTATTGAAAAACTGTTAGGATAATCGGAGAAATATACCAATAATTATCGTGTTAAGTCTATGGTGGCCTTGGACCTTAAATGTACATTTCCTATTGGTCGATGTTTATTTCACTTGTTAAATATTGTGTAAATGTTGTTCTCTATTTTATGGTACGGTGTGGTTTGTTTGTTTGGTATATAAATAGAGTATGTCTGAAATACAATGATTCATAACTCAGAGGCTGTGACTTGTGTTCTTGACTCAAACTGGCTAGGACAGACAGCGAAGCAGGGCCAATCAGGGCACTAGGTCGTCCTTACGTGTTACTGTGATCGATCGATAAAACGCTGCTTATCAAAACCTGCAGTCACACCCGTTACAACAAAAACACTGAACTAAAATGAAAAAAATTATCAAATGCTTTATGACCTTTCATAATTTTCTTGTTAATGACAATTTGTAATGAGATCTTATTTTTAAGAAATATTAAAGAATCCCGAATAGAATTATTCAATTTCATAAATAATTTGACTAGAACCAAAATAAGTATAAACTAATATGCATGTTTAGTATGTATATAAAAGTCATATTATTGATAATCATTAATAAGAAATTAACTATAAAGCATTAACCCATTGTTGATTTAACATGATTATCTTTAGTTTGATCTAATAATTTAACATTAATGTATTATACAATTGTACAGTTTTACTGAATGATTGATTTACAGTGTATGTATACATGTACATGTAAGTATCTATGTACCCATGTATAGTAAGGTGTATTTTATTTTAGCACATTCATACTAGATGAGCTCTATTCACTTGGATAAAATATATTGTCAATGATTATTATATTTGTTATGAAAGAAATTCTTATTAGTTGAATTCATGAGTCAATTGAAGCTAGACCACCATGGAAAACCATAATATCCAAAAAAACCTCTCTGATTAGATTCTTATTATTTTATTGATGTAATGACTTGAGGCGATTGATAAATTTTTGTGGTTTACATCACGAACTAATCCTAGTCAAATAATAACTAAAGATCAGGAAGCACTAGATGGTTGTTTCATCCTAATATCCACAAGCCAACTCAGAATCGAATCAAGTACCTTCAAATATCATGACGAGTGCTTAATTGTTAGATCATTGAATTGGCATCAAATGATTTGCTGGTTTAACTTCAACCAGTTTGTGACATTTCGCAAGCATATTCCCATATCGTTGATAGGTGACTGGTGCACACTCGATACGGTTGAACTTTACTAGTTACTGCTTCTTATCAGAACTCAGAGAGCTAACTCTTGAAACTCGCTGCTAGTTATAAAAGCAAAAAAACCTAACCAGTTCTACCTATCGGTCATTGAAAGGTCATCGATACCATTTGTCGAATTCATATTGAATTCTACTGTGAAAGCATTCCACTTATCCATTTAAATAAGTAGGTGATGCATTACACCTAGGACTTTCATAAAAACGATACCATTAACGTTTCTACTATCATATAAAAAGGAGACGATAATCATCTATTTTAAAGCACCGAAATGGTTTTGGATAAACTTCTATAAAAAAGAAAACAAGTTTATTCATGTTAGTGTGTTATTGGAAATAACTGGGCCTTGATTTATGTAATCGCTTAACATGTATTGATTAATCAGTTGATTTTCCTCATGGAGCAAACTCAACTAGATAAATGATGAATGCCAAGAAATAATAGACAATTGTTTTATGATGTCCATATCTACCCTCTTGAAATGTTGAAACGAATTCTGAACATTGATAATATCAACCTCCATAGGCTAGAAATATAAGGTTCGAGTTTTAGCATTACACTTAAAACTACGATTGGGGTAAATCTCATCTGAACTTGGAAGATAAATTTTTTTAAGAAAATTAATTCTAACGTTAAAGATTATTTTCAACCTTCTAAAATAAGATCGACGTTAGAACCACAAGTATAAACCTTGTTTCTTAAGTTTAGGATCCATAAAATAATTCAAAGTATACAGAAAAAACTCACATACAGTACATTTTGACTGAAATTAGGATAAAAATATACTTCAGTTGACTGATCCAAAATCATTTTGGGAATCGTAGTTTTATGATTTAGTGAATAACAATCAACTGCCTTGTTTCAAAATACGAATTTCAATGTGGAATACTAGACCATTAGGATTTTAATGGAACATAAAGAAAGAAAAGCAGTACATCTCCCTATTTAGTTTTTTTATCATATTTTTAAACTAAAAGGCAACTTTTAACTGTTTGTTCCTGGATATTTATCCAATTTTGAAATAATTTAGTTATAGACTAACTTCAGTTGCTGAACCATTGAAAGCTAAATTGTATTGTAAACAGATATTTCGTCCTAGCTCATGACTTCTTAACAATATACAGCTACAACTTTATTACAGATATAATTTAGGATTTTTAATAATCAAGCAGATTTAGTTACATTTAGATATATTACTGATTCACTCTCTAATGATCCACAGCTTCAATTACATCTAATTTATAATACAACCGGACGATTATACAGCAGAATCGATTATATCTATCTTACTTTCAGCACAGCTAGGCACTAGCCAAGACACCCAGATGGAACTCCTGAAATGTTCCTGAAAATAAGTCATTAGTGTTCATATGATTGGTGTTTCTAGGTGTTTTCTTGTGCAGATCAATCGAATTCTGGAATAGTTTATGTTGGGACATGCATTATATACACTCAAGCACAGCTTTCCTCGACGGGCGATATTTTCTAGTGCGAGAAAAAACCAGGGGCGAGCAAGCCAAAAAATTGTATCAGTCCATGTTAATAGGAGTAGACTACCTTGTTTGGGTCCGCTTGTTTATTGTAACTAATGGCTGGAGACTAAATTAAATAGCTCAAAATCGTTTGCGATGGCATAGGTGCATCCACTTTTTGTCGTCTTTAGAACTCTGAGATTATAAATTTCTCAATATTTTCCCTTATTTCACCAATTTATATTTTCTTCTCACATAGTATCTTTGATGCCTAATCTCCTTTATTACTACTGGTACTGTTACTACTTTTACTATTCTGTGATTAGGCCTGATAATTTCATCTCCCTGTGCTAATGGGGCATGGTAAATTGAACGGACGTACATATGTATCAGTTTCTACATTGTGACTGGGTGACTAACCGAATGACTGTGTTATCGTAAGTTTGAAATGCAGAGGACAACAACGAAACATCTGCTCAATCCCTTCTCGTTTCGAGTGATTCACTAGTTAATATTATTGTATGAAGCAAAACAATATCTAAACTACTACAAATTGAAATGAATATTTACTCATTAACTCCATACATTTATTCATTTTAAATCATAGAGTTCTATCAGTGTGACATAAACTAAAGTACTTATGTAATTACTCGATAAAAATTATATAAGATTTTAAAAAGCAGACAAATTTACGTTTGACGACTAGCGTTATATATATATATGTTTGACGTTACTTAGGTTCGGTTTTTTAATGTTTTTTTGAAAAATACGTTACCTTTCGAACATAGGTACACGTAAAATCTAAATTGTTTTGGCAGATGAACAATGGAATTAATTTACATATTATGAAGTTTTTAGTATATGCATTAATTTTGCAGTCATTTTTTCACTATAAAAATCTGAAGAATTAGTTTAGTTAGATGATCGGTGGAAAACGCTGATTATTTTTTGGTGATTTTCATGAATTAATATCGACTAGAGAGAAAGTGAAAATCATGAAAATAAGTCCAACGATCTGTAGCTAGGATGCATCAGTTTGATAAGACTGTTAATCTCCGAGATGTAGGATTCAGCTGTGAACCCATTATTATTTCTTAAATAAAAACAGTAGTACAAACACGAGAAGAGAAGTGGGCTCTTAGAATTTCTCTACAAATGACAGAATAAGATGTTCGGCAGCAGTTTACTTGTGATCAAAATAGTTCACTGGTAACATCTTGAACTTTAAATTTGTGTAACTTAAGCTCGGATCCCATAATGACCATTAGTTCCTTCAATAGTTCAGGTACGCCCACATTATGAGTTCCAACTTGCACAAAACTTAAATCTATGGTTTACTTCCAGCTACCTTCAAACACAATACAGAACACATCGTTGGTCGTATGTGAGAAAATTATAATACCTCACTTTTCAAATAAACTATGAAGAACTATGGGTGACTGTCAAAACATAACAGACAACTCAGTAACAGGCCACATCCACGACCACTCATCAGATTAAACCTGGAACCATCACTTTCTTACGAAAAACACGATTATCAATCAATATCAGCTATTTTCTTCTTTGAACGAAATCATTGCTAATTGTTTAAAGCATTTATGAATCTGAAAACAGGTACATGTAGTGGCTGTCGGTCATCATATTTAATTGAAGGATTTTTGTGGAGGTTGTTTTAATTTGTAGATTGTATAATACAGAATGTATTTCATGTATGGTTCTCATACTTTACGGAGACATTCTGTAATTTTGTGTTAAATGTATTGATTTTCTCTACCTGTGTGTTCGTTCACCACGGTAACATCGAAACCCAGAGGCAACCGGACGGCTGTTTTGTCCTAGTATGACGCTCCCCAGAAGTGTGCACCCACAACCACTACAGGATTTAGAGCTAGGATATCCGGGTTTCCTGGAACACGTTTAACTACTGTAACCATTGGTTTGGCATCCAACAGTAAAATCTCTACTTCAGTCAATTTGAGATAGAGAGTAACGATCAACCAGTGTCATCGGTGACAAATGCTTCACTTCCGACTAGTAAAAAATCTCAAGATTGTAGAAACACACTGATGAGAAGCCCCGTGTAAGGACGAAACAGTCGTTCAATGCTCCGTGGTTTTTAATAGTACACCAATTGAGTTAATCTATAACAAGTAGACCCAAAAATCACTATTTTTATTTAATGAACGTGAATTTTTAATTGTTTCACATACAGTTGATTACCTATGTATGTTTGCAGGTTAATCACCGACCCTTATATCCATCTCTCAACAAATAAGAACAGTCAAAAAAATGTAATTCAAAATTTCACTTGTATTTTATTTGAGTGCTAGAGAGACATGAGAAATAAATAATCTGAAAACCTGATTAATATACTCAATCAACAAATAAGGCAATATGGATCAAAAACAGAGAAACATATATAACTAAACTTTCATATTGATTATCAACTAAAACTTACCCATAGAAAATTGTGTACAACGTCCAAAAATTGCATAGAACAAGGGACTTAAAAAACCAATATACAATCCATAAACAGGTGGTAAACCAGCGAGTAATGAATATGCCATACCTGAAATTTTAAAAAGAACACAATATTCTACTATCCTACCCCTCCTACATCATGTTTATTATTAGAAAGCATGGAATAAATACTAGTAGAAAAAATATACTTTCCAATATATTTAGCGTGTTGCTAGCGTTGGAATTTATCAACTTGGTGTACCCGCACCTCAATATTAATGTTCACATAAACTTCGAGTCATTACATTTTACTTTAAACTAACACGTTATTCATTGTTCATTTGAAGTCCTGAATATTAAAAACAGGAAATTACAAGTCGTTATACATATTTTTGCCTGTAACATGAAAGGGGTACAAATAGGTCATTGATTTTTCTTGACATGTTCGTTTCTTTGTTCAGATCTTTACTAAATCATATTGATACATGTTTAAATCAACTTCCATGCAAGATCTACGCAACTGGTGAAAACTTAACAAAATAAATCAAATTCACGTTGATCTGCTCAAATAGTTGTTCTTACTATTTTCATATCGGTAAAATATTAGAGTTACTTAGTCTGAATTTTAGAACCGTCAACAGTGCACACGGACGACCTTACATACATATATTGATCTTATTTGAGGTATCATAGAAAACTAAGGAGCATCGGATAGTCGTTTCATCTTGATATTAAGTTCACAGTAAAGCGCATCTGTGACCTCTCCGGAGACCGAACCCATGAGTGTTCCTTCACTACAAATATAACACACTGGACCATCATACCCAACTGCGATTATTAGTTGATATGTACATTTCACCATACATATACAGAAAGATGACTATTTTGTAGCAGTAAGTAATCACCTTGAAGAACGCTCATAAGTGATTCATACAGAGAATTAGAGTATCTGGCTACACATACGCTTAAAATAATCTATCATAAAATATATCAGTGAGACGAATCGGATGGTTGATATGAATAGCTCTTTTAAATTGTTATTCGACACTCCCCATGTAAAATGTATATAAATAAATTTATTTTATTCTTAATACTGTATAACAATAAATTAGAATTATTAGTAGCTCAGATTTAGTTGCAATTGTACTACAGTCTTCATTCTATCGATTTTCATGATTATTTGGATTGTCAGTCTGATTAATTCGTTTGACCTTATTTTTTATATATTCGTGATTTTTTCATTAGATATTACGAAGACAGGTTATTAGTTTATGAATTAGACTGTACAGAATTTATTGTATACTAATAATACTGATTTGTTGTCATGAGAATCATACAGTGAATCACTTAGAAACTGTTAACTTCAGTCTAACATGATTAGATTAAAAACTCTTGGCTAAATTATTACTAGTAATCAACAAGTTTTGAGAAATAAAAGTGTCCGCAATTCAAAATTATTTCATACTACGTTGAAACACTTAAAAACGTTCACTATTTCTGAGAATGATATGAATGAGAATAAACTAGCAATAAACACCTTTTTTCTTTCGATTAAAACAAAACCACCGCACTATTTTTTACCATAGATAAATACACTGTGTCGTTGATTAGATTCGAACTCTATACTGTTGTACAGACAACAAATGATTTCTATTAAACCAATTTGCTACATGAACTTGGAACAAATACAAAACCTACGTTTTCGCACATAAGTGAGGGTACTTTGTTTCTGTATCTTACAACGGTGAGCTATCAACCTCACACATTAAAGTATGGTTATACATTATCTTATACCATACTTTTATATCCTAAACTATTTATTTACCTCTACACTGAGTGCATATTTTAACAGCTGCCGTCTACGCGATTTCGGAGCATTTATTCATATACTATGGGAACGAGATTCACACCACTGCTACGAATGGCTCAATTACGACACTCAACGACTCTACGGCATGAGTATCAAGATAAGAGCTTAGAAACCTGTATTTCTGGGTTTATAAAGAGCTACAATCAGCAGATATTTTGTTTACTATATAACAGATTCTAAAGTACAGAAGCCTTTACCACTAATGTGCACAAATTCTAAATATATGTAATATGTAACATTAGAACCTGAGTCAGTCTCTCTTATCATTAGAGAATAATTACACCATTTATACTACAATACGCCAGCATTATTCAAATAACTTATTGCAATAAATGAAATCTGAAGTACAATGGGAACAATTTGCTCTGACCAACCATTCACATTAGACATAAAATCTTCGTAGTTTTTAGATGTAATTTAGTGACCGAATAAGGATAGATTACTTATATCTTTTTATGGTTCAAAACTATCTACAGACAAAAGCAGAATCTACTAACATCTAATACATTAAAAGTGAATCCTTCGAACTGTTTAGGAATTCTTTTGAAGTTTACTAGATTCCCAGTTTACAAAAGAAGCATACTATGACTGCAAAAGATACAGCACAACTTGTTTTGGTTAAATACCAACAATAATAGCTGACTCATTAAAGCTATTAATAATAACAAATGATGCCGACGTAACACATTACATACATCATATGGCTTATCTTAACGAAAAGCATAAAATGAAGTACAAATGAATTGTATTGTAATATCGTTTCTCTCCTGTAACCAACCTTTTATCAAAAATAGATCAAATATAAGGTTATGCGTGTTTTAATAAAACGATTATTCACGCTTTCAATACTTGACGCATGATTCGGGAGTTCCTTGGAAAATATGTGAATTCAGAACTAGTAAGTTTTAAGTCACCTAACTGACTAACGATGAGAAAATTTTGATGTGTTGCAATTCGGTTCATCTTTAAGTGTCACCCTTAATTTTTATTTCAGAAGAAACAATAGCTCGTTTATCCAACAGCGATCATCAATAAGTTGGATTTGTGATTTTCAGTAATTTCATCGGGTATTTGGCCAAAATCTCCGTAACCATTTCACTGTTGTGATATATAATTTGAAAGTTTTTGTTCTGTCTTTAAAAAGCGTTTGACGTGTAAACCAAACAGATGATTAAAAATGAAATGACGTAGTAACTCCAAATTTCGAGATTACAGTTAAATATAACGAGTAAGATCTTTGAAGTTGAATGAACTGAAAGAAATATGACTAAGTCTCTTACTTACGCTCATATCATATAGAAATAAAAGATTATACTTGCCTTGTGGGATATTCATAACGCCTATTGTCAAACCACCGGAGATATCTTTCAAAAAATCTGACCGCCAATTATAATGTGTCAAAATATCAATACATGGAAATATAGACTTGATAAAGTATATCGAATATGATTTCCATTGTTGTTTACTACAACATGATAATGATTTTAAACAACAATGACTTTTCTTAATGCTTGAGTTAGTATGTTTAGACATTAGTGAATCCCAATCTGCAATCGGTCGACTGAATGTGATACGTCCTAAGTGAACATTTGTCACAAATTTGTTTTCATGCATAGTTCCATTTAAATTTAGTGATTTACAATGAGTCTCATCATTATTAACTGCGACATAGCTTGACATTGCACAGAAATGAATTAAGTCACGTTATATCAATTACTTTAATTATTACTATTATCTCTAGTTTATATATAATCTATTAAAATGACTGATGGACGGATAAAACCTTATAGGTGATTTGTAGCTCATCAATAATCCAATCACAATTACTACTTAGTGTACACACATAAACATACGTAAACGGACATAATTCCATAACTTAGTGTAAATGTGAAACGAATACGAACCTGTGGAAATTCTAAATTCACATAGTAATTAGTAATATGCGTATGCAATGTGCGTATGATATTCAACAAGATAGACGAAAACACAAAAACCGAAGCACAAAAGTAAAAAATAACAAATTAAGCAAAAATAGATTTTGGAAAAAAAAATGATACACAGGTAAAATTTAGAACTTTTTTTTACCAAAAAGTGGAGTCAATTTACATGGGTAAAGAATGAAGACAAATTTCACTGTTTTCGTATTTTCGTGAAATCATCATCATCAGCATCCTATATATATTCACAAAAACTAAATTCGAATATTTCCATGTGTTCATGTTAAGGTTTATATCAATGCAGAAATATTCAAACCACTGAATTCGCTGAACTAATACAACAAGGGGACGGTGCAGTAAAAACAGTGACTATAACAAATATATCAATCGGTCTTTGTCTTAGAGGAATTGTGGAATATTTAGAAGTAGAAAATGTTTATAGCTACAATTTTAAAGCATCTGAAAGAAGGGAGCGAACATCTCGTTCACTAATTCGATTCGATGATATAGGATTCACAATGGATAAACTGAGATCCGAGGCAGCTGAGTTCCAATTACCAAGGACTTTGAAAACATTTTCATTTTCTGTCATACCATCTAGACTGGAACATGGTAAAATATTAGTTGACTTCGACCTTCTACTCCGGGAACTAACACGAGTAGTGTCTTCAGATTCCTCGGTCTGTTCTGTGTTGTGTTCAGACACACAACCTGTTACATTCTGCTCCATTTGTAATTTCTCAGATGCAATGCGCAGCATACCCTCTTCTAAAGTACCTTCAGAGATTAGTCGTATGACGTGAACAGGACTAGAAAATTAAAACATGATAATTTATTAGTACAAAAAAAATAAAAAGCAGACATTTAAATCACATGATATGATATCATTCAATGAAAGAGTAGAATATACCTTACAGATAAAACTAGTTATTTAAAAAGGCATATAACATAATCATTACCTATCACTTATAATTTCTAATACAATAGTGAAATTTAAAGCAATCTAAAAACATTAGCCAACATGAACTAACGTTCATACTCCATATTGAGAAACATATACAATTTTTTTACATTCAATTGAGATCAGTATACCTAATAATCACAATGTAATGATTAAGTCTTGGGTATTTTTACTGAATCCAATTGACCAAATAGGCTAAGGTGATTATTTCAAAAGGTGATATCATTTGTTTGGCATTTTTGATTTTATTTTGGTAACGGCAACCGGTTTTAAACTTTTAGGGAACCTATTTTAAAGATGTATGGTCATTACAATGAGTTTTTCTATTTTCCATGTTTTTAACGAATTACTTATGCATGTAAATCTTAAGACGTACTTATCATGCACTTAAATCCTATAGTTTACGATGATACTCAATAATATACAAGAAACAAGCGGAAACATTAATAGTTGACATATTCTTTGGAAAAAAAGAGAACGAATTTGGATCTATGCACAAAACGCATTATGTAGTGTGGTAATGGATGAAAACAGATAAAAATGAATGGCAGATAAACATTGTTGGGAATGTAATTTGATATATGGTTGGTGTTACGTATGCCCTACGACCGACTGCCTCGACGTGCTATGTTCAGTGGTATAGGAGTAGGTTGGAAGAAAGCTAGGGGCGGCCAAACCAAAACATGGCACAAATCCATGAAGTCACTGACAAGTGGACTGAGTCATGTTGGTAGGTGTAGACTACCTGGTTGGGGACCGCGAGATGACAGCAACCGATGGTTAGAGACCCTGAATGACATGGCTCAAAATCGTTTGCAATGGCGCAGGTGCATCCACTCTCTGTGTTCTCCCAAACTCTAATCTTCTGAATTCTTCATGTCCCTTTTTTCCTCTTTCCAAATTTCTTTCACTGTATTATACTCTTTAAATAACATCTCCAAACCCTAATCTTCCCGATTACTACTTATACTCTTATTACCTCTATCACTACGGGATTTGAATCGACAAGTGCATCTCTGTGCTTATGTGGTGTGGCAACTCGAACTGATGTACGTACGTACGAAGTTCTACGTTGTTACTGACTGACTGACTGACTGGAATAGCTACAAATGGCATGTATGTTAAAGTTGAACAACTTACAGGAATAGGATGTATTTTATACTGAGAATTCTTTACTGTAACCAAATATATGGTACTGAATCAAGCAACTATCATCATTAAAATTCAAAGCCGATTGTCGTAATCAATAACGAGGCTAAAAGTGTTGTGCCATGACCAATGACATTAAAAAACATTTTAAAACAAAGATGTAGAGAAATATAGTTTGTAATAAGGAAAAACACAAAATATGCGCATGATATAACGTACTTTTTCTGACCAAGTCGATGACAGCGATCCTCTGCTTGTCGATCATTATATGGATTAAAATCGATATCATGTATTATTACAGTATCCGCACCAGTTAAATTAATACCTAGGCCACCAGCACGTGTAGATAGTAGAAAAACTTCAATCGATGAGCTGTGTAAAGATGTACAGGGGATTAAGTGAATTCAGGATGCTTAATATAAGTAGTAATTTAGCTAGAAAAAACGTGAGGATTTTAACCGGTGATTTTTTAATGTAACCAGTTAAGATTTTACTGATATTTCTTAGTGTAAATTTAGAATCTATTTAGTGGCTAGGTGTGGCCAAACTAAAATATAAAAGCAGTCTGTGAAATCATTCAGCTGAGCAGCCGTTGATGAAGGGTATCTGATTAAAATTATCGTAACCAATAGTTGAAGACTATAGATGATATGGTTCGGAATCAGCAACAGTGGCCCAAATGCATTCACTCATTGTCTTCCTTTGAATTTGGAGTTTAAAAACTATCCTGCAGATTCCTATTCCAAGAATATTTTTTCTTTTTGGATCCTATCGTTTAGAACTAGACTTTTATTCTACTGATAGCTATTACCTCTACTACTCTGACATTTATATCAAGAATTTCAACGCGCTATGCTAACGTGATGTGACAACTTACGTGTGCCAGGTTTTACTACGTTGAACTATAGCTCTAGGTTGAACATTACTTCAGTTCATAGTTAGGTAGATCCCAATCAGATAGCCAAGTTTATTATTATTCTATTTCTACGCCTTAAAATATCTTTCTCAGAAAATAAACCTATGCTTTTACGAACTAATTACTGTTGACTCCGAACCAGATCTTTTTGGCATAATTAAACCCTTTTAATATTTTGTAAATGCAGATGTATGGAAGTTTCTTGAAAAATAATTCCCATTCCCTGTAAAAATCTCCCATTTTGGTCAGCAAAAAAAGAATATTTCGTTCTTTAGACATAAGCACTCGATGTTTGAGTTAAAAACTTGTAACAGAAATAAACGTCACTCAATCAAGCACAATAAAACTTTAAATCTAGAATTGATAATCTGATTATTGTGAGTTGAATAACAATGTTTTAATACATATAGTGACTGGAATATATATATAATGAACAAATAATTAAATAAAAATTTTAGTATGCAGATGAGCATTGCTAATGAAATGGAGACAAACTAATACCAAATATTTACCTGTTGAAACGATCTATTAATGTTTGTCGTTCCGAGACAGGAGTTGATCCATCCATTCGTATATAACGCCTGTTAGTTATCCTTAAAAATTCCTCTAATATATCTAACATAATGACAAACTGACTAAAAATCAAAATACGATGTCCTTCAGAGACTAATTTAGGCAAATTGTCATTTAACCATTGGATTTTTCCAGATCCAGAAATGATCGATTCAGGGGAAAGAGTATATGGTGATAAAACCTAAGGATTAAGAAAAATATCATTTCATTATGTCAAAAGAGACATCGTATTTATTTATTCTTAAATATCAATTTGTATTGACTATATTTATGGGCAAAAGATGTTTGAATTTTTAACACATGTAGTTACAGAGCCAACTAAACTACTTAATTTTTATTCAGTAGCAGTAGACAAGCCCATGTAAAATGAAGCGGGAAGAAAAAGTGAAATTAAAAATCAATAACCATGACATCCATTAAAGCCATTTGATCAATGTGATCTGTTTCAGTAACGCCCTATTTACTTAATAATTTACATAATATTCCTTGAAATGACAAGGCTTATATTATTAAAATAAGTCGAATATTATAGATGAGATAGTGCAACTGCCTTCAGTATTGTGAATGATAAATCAAAAAGGTAAGCATACAAAAATCGACTTATTGATGTGCTCATATTCAAGTTGCCGTAGTTAACAAAACCACAGATAGAGGAGAGTCAAGAGAAATTAGATGTTATTACTAACAGGGTTACGAAACAAGAGAATAAATCAAGTTATGAAGTCTTTTAAATTAAGGGGATAATTAGAGAATGGATACTTGAATGTTATTGCACCTAAGTAGTGTTCACTGACATATACATGATTTCAAGGGGGGGTAAGTCGGAGAATCTACACCGAAATAAAAAACTGAGATCAATAATCGCAGATTTTATGAACGAATAGTCAAGCATTCGAGGATACAATCAAACTATGTACGACTACGATCGGAGAATAATATCGAAATAAAAAAGACATCAAACCGAAAGGAAATCATTGAGTCCTTCTGGTATTATGATAATCGGACTTCATCGCAACTAAATCAATTTTGAAGTTCGATATGTAACTTATCTTTGACAACTAAAAATACTGGCTCTAATACTATTTTCAGTAGATATTGATAAGTCGCAAATCGAACAGATAGAAATACAATGTAAATCTCAAAC